TTTCAAATCGGATGCTCTGTTCTCTCAAAAACTTAATTTTCATTCTCGCACTCTTCGCTCCGTATTTACGAAACGGCTGGACCAACCTTTGCCAAAAAGTAATCAGCACTAAATCTCATAAAAGTAGGAATGGAATGCTATTTGAATCAATCAAATCGGTTGAGCGGTGCTCCCGAAAACGTCGAGGAAAAATTGTATCCACACATACATAAATACACACACACAAACATCTATTTTTTTTGAGGTATGCCGAAATGCTCAGAAACCTCTGAAACGTAAAGATATGCAAAAATTTTCATTTTGATTTTTGGACGATTACCATAAATTACCCTACGGAAATTAACTAGGCTCACGTGTCATTTTGTCTAGAGGCAAGTTGCAAAAACTTTCCGATATGTGTAAATTAATCAATAACAATTTAGATTCAGCTATTTGAATAAAATTTTTAACTGTTTATTTCGAAAATAAAGTTGAAGCTTTTCTATATAGTACTAATCAATACTATTTTAAATCGATATGTTTCGATACAAACTTATTATTATTATTTTTTTTTTTTCTTTATTTATTATAGACAATCAGAAATACAATTTCTATGAGTCTATGTGATCCATTAAGTATGACATTTAGAGGTATCTTCCACTGAAGAGATTCCCCTGTAGATAATCTATGTTAATTGAATTATTATCTAGTAATTGAATTAATTATAGTGCAAAAACACGAGCTTGTATGTCCTAAAAGCGCGGGCCATTATTTGAAACTTTAATGACTTTTTAAAATTAAATGACTTGCCGTAGGGCACAACTATTTTAGTATATTCTGTAAGACTATTATCTCTATCGTCAAAAAAAGTTTTATCAAATTCATCGAATTTTTTTAACAATTAACTAATCAGTACGATTCCCAACCAGTGTCTTTCGAACAGTTTTTAACTTTCCGTAGTGTAAGTTATAGTAATCGCAAAAAAATCGAAAATGAATATTTTTATATATCTTTACGTTTCAGAGGTTTCTGAACATTTTGGCATACCTTAGAAAAAATAGATGTATGTGTGTGTATGTGCTGATACAAATTTTCGCCGGCGATTTCTGGAACGCGGTTCAACCGAATCCAATTATTCAAAAAACATTCGATTCTATTCGATAGTTTTTGGCAAAGGCAGGTCTAGTCGTTTCGAAGGTACGGAGCAAAAAGTGCCAAAAACGGTAACTCAATTTTTTTTCAAAGTTTAAAAAAATTTAATCTTTTTAAAAATAACAATTCATGGTACGAGAAGTTCCAGCAATTTGCCTTAAGGCACGATGCCATGCACCTCTAGTTGAATTCTTTAAATCGATTCAGGATTTTTGACGTTCACTTTAATTTTTTTTGCCAAATTTTGTATATATCATTTTTTTTTCTTTAGCTACAATACATTGTAATAATGATACTAATATACTGTATCGTCTCGTTAAAATAGAAACTATTTTAACTTTTAATATTCTAAATATTATTTTTTTTATATATAAACATAAAGGTCTCAAACCTGTTTCTTATTTTTTATTTCAAATCATTGAAATGATCAATATCATATCACGGGAGTACAAATATAGTCTATAATGATTACAACATAAACTAGTTCATTGAACACGGCTCAGGTAATTTACGATTTAATGACCGATGCAATAAAAACATTCATTCTTGAAAGTGGTCTAGTAAGAATTGAGTAAGATTTTCGAGTCATAGATATGCTGGAATGTGCAATGTGCGTCATTTGTACCTTTTTTTAAAGAATTATATAAGAACTTTAGCTAGACTATGCACTTGACATCATACAGCAAACATATTAATATGTTAAGTACATATACCATAAAACTCTTTGTCGGTTAAATTGCATTAACTATGACTATGACTCGCTTGTATACCACAAAATCATGCGCTACATTATTATTTATTCATACATATGTTTCCTTGTTTACAATTATTATTTAAAATTATAGAAAACAAATCATTTTTTGTTTCCTTTTCTTAGAATAATTTTGTTCATTTGATTGTTTTTATATATTTGCAGTTCATATTAGTATATAGTCAAATAAAAAAATGTATAATATTCAATCTTTCGGAAAGTTCTCTCTCTGGGCAATATATTTATTCCGTTTGTAAATAACTTTTCGTCTATGATGCCATCAAATGGGCTAGTTTATATTGAAGATCTTCTTTGCTATTTTTAACTTCCCGTAGGGTAAGTTATAAATTTTCCAAAAAATTCGAAAATGAACATTTTTATATCTTTTTAGCATACCTTATTATTAAAAAAAATTGATTGTGTGACGATTTCGGGAACTCCGATTTCAATTATTCAAAAAACGTTCGATTCCTATCGATAAAGAGACGTGCTGCTTAGTTTTTGGCAGAGGCAGGTCTAGCCGAGAAAAAATTGCAAAAAACGGTAACTCAGTTTTTAAGAGAACGGAGCGTCCGATTTCAATAATTCAAAAACATTTTACTTGTAGTGACAAGATGAAGAAGTAATGAAATTTTTAGGAAGGCAGGTCTAGCGGTTTCAGATATCCAGTAAAAAAAAGTAAAAAAAAGCCATTTGGCGGTCAAAAATGATCATTAGACATATGCACATCAAATTATCATTTTATGGAGATTTTAATAATACGTATAAATTTTGTTTACATTTCTATGGGCTCCCAACGTAACATCGTTTGTCTATAAGACTGCAAAGCAGCGCTTACGCGCTTCGATATTTCGTCTTTGTGCAGCTAAATCAGCGCGATTGTTTTGAAGAAAGTTCAAAATTTCCAAAATATTTTAAAATATATATATATATTTTTTCAAAAAGTCTTTTTTCTCAAAAAAGGTCAATTTTTTTCAAAAATTTAATTTTTTTCAGTTTTCAGAAAAAACTTTTTGGTACAGGAAGTTCCAGGAATTTGCCTTAAGGAACGATACCATACACCACTAGTTCAAATTTATAAACAAGTAGCTATTAGAGAAAATAGAGATGCGATAAAATTACTCTACTTAGTTCTGCTATAATACGATATAAAGATCTTTCTACTAAACATCCACGAAAGTTTGTTTGATCTCTACGGGGTCTGTCTGTAGTGTGTTAATAAAACACCGAATCAAAAATCTTATCCGAATTGAACTTTTGGTTAGATTTTAGACATACCTAAATATTAAACCTCAAATATTATACTATCTAAGCTTTTCTTTATATAAATTAAATTTGAACCAGAAGTAGAAGGGTTGTGTTTTACTGGTGAACAATGTGCTCTTTTCCGTAAGATGCTTTTGTTCGTACTTTTAACTTTGGATAAGTTCATTTACTATTTATATTTACTTGTTTAGTACTTTTACACTAATCGAACTATATTGAAGTTCTAAATATTTTGTTAAGGTAAATTAAGCTTTTCTGCCATCTACAACGATGTCAGAGAATAGTTTTGCTGCAACAAGACTTTAATATAGTTTTTATCCACGAAACATAACCGCGATCAGAAGAATCAACTATTTCAAACTTTGCAAATACTTAAGAAAATTTCGACTCACTTCTGTAGTATTTTTTATCTGTCGAAATTAGTGTAGAATTCAGAGACGCAAATGAAATTTATATTTATTTAGCCATGGGTACGTTTCCGCGCGATTTCCTATAGATTGATTCATCAGCATGTATACATTGATTAATAAAAATAAACATTCGTAAATGCATGATATAAAATGAGCCTACATGTTGAAACTTGTAACGTACGTAGACAGGCAAAACTTGTACCTAGTAGATAGCTCGTATCGAAAAACATTTTTGGACAAGAATCAGATCTAAGCTATTGTTTATATTTGTCCTCAACGTCTTTTTTAAAATGCGATCCAATAGTTGTGATGAATGATATATTGAAATTTTCAACAATACTGATCTAAATCTTTTTCTTCTTTTTATATATTTGTAACTATTTCATCATGAAACATCAGCTAATTTTTTGGTACTACTTAGAATTTCTAAACGCCAGTCCATTGATTTTGGACGTCCGGGTAAGATGGTAATGATCTAGTAAACTAAAGTCGCTCTTTAAAAGGCGACCCAATAGTTGTCTTTTCTAATGATATATTGAAAATACCAACAATACTGGGAAAAGCGATTTTCACTTGGAAACATATTATGATCTAGGTTTATTTTTTTTTTATATATTCGTAGATATTTCAACATGAAACATCAGCTAATTTTTTGGTACTACTTAGAATGTCCAAATCGGGTGCCAATCCATTGATTGGGCGTTCGGGTATGATGGTAGTGATCTGGTAAACTATATTTTCAAACTAGTTGCACCTTAACCATGGTATTCTTCGCTCTAATAATAAAGTTGCAGTTTTGTTCGTCTTAAAATCATTGGGGCAAGTGTGGAAAAATACGTAGGACTAGAATTCTACCATAAAAACTTGAAATTTCGGCAAATTTTCCGTCACCTAGGATGAAGATCGTCGTTGCAAAATAAATACGTTAAGGTTTTTATTTCATTTTTTCTATACAGTAATTGTAGAATTGTTTTCAAGATAATTTTAGGCGCGAATAATGTGTCCTCTTAATTGACGGACGGCCGATAATAAATTTGACCATTTAAACCCCTTTGATTTACTGGATTACATAATCCTGAATATATCAACTATCATAATAGTTTTTCAAAATTATCAGACACTACTGGCAGAACACTTTCGCTTATTGTATCGTGTTTCGATTGTTGAAATCATTACCATGTCTCGGAGATACGTATCAGTATTGTGTAAAATGAAGTGAAAATCAATCTTAGAGCAAAACATGTAACAGATTAGCGGATTTTTCTTTAAATTTGCGATAAATCAACTAGTTTTTCATCAAGTGTTGGAAAGACAATGAAAAATTAAAACGAAAATAATGGGGCACTAATATTTAATCGATTCTCAGATATATTGTTTTCTTATCATTATAATGTTCAAAACAATTTTAAAATGAGAAACTGATTATCAAATTTTAAAATTACCTTTTTCAGCCTGTGCTTAACATTACGGCACAACGTCTCGCAACGATCCCAAGGAACAGAAGTTTCGAAGGATTCCGCCACTACAAAATATTCGAGAGCCAAATCCTGTAAGAAAATCACTTTTAATTTGAATATATACAAAATTAGATTCAATATTCTGAAACTGTAAATTATGAAAAATGGCTACAAAAAATTTTCATTCATTAAGATCCATATAAGTTATTAATGTTTTTAGCACAAATAGTAATTCAGATATGAAAATTATATTATAACTATAAAACTATAGCATAAGTGTGAGCAAATGATAATTTTTTATTGAATATACTCACCCTAATATATGCAATGACAAATGTGAGCAAATATCCGCGTTCTCCATTTGTGTTTCCAGCTGGAATACCCCCATATTTTTTAGCAATTTGTTCTAACAACTTTTCATTTCTGTCAATATCTTTCTTTTCGCCTTCGAACGACAAAGTAGCGACAACCACTTGACTCAGATCATAGCCCGCAACGTATTGCAAATATGAATGTTTGATGGCATCCTTAATTGAACCAAACCAAGAACTTTCAGGTCTTAATGCCTGACCGAATTGGAACTGCTCGTTATCCATTAAACGTATACTAGCCGGTTGACAACGTTTCTTCGCGATTTCACGTAAACACTTCACCCCGGCAGAAAAATTTGGGAAGACTATTGATCCATATCGTCTACATGAGGGTAAAGGACGCACTTTCACTATCACTTCAGTCACAACCCCTAAAGTTCCTTCCGATCCTAAAATTACATGATTCCAATCAGGACCGCACGATATTCTTGGAGCTGCTACAGATTTTTCTAAAACTCCTTGGGAACTAACCATGCGGACATGAACTACTAAATCTTCTATGTTACCATATTCATTCTTCTTCATTCCTGAAGCCCGGGTCGCTACCCAGCCCCCCAGGGTGGAAAATTCGTAGGAATCAGGTTCGTGGCCCAAAGTCAAGCCTAGATTGCGCAACTCTCTCTCTAGATCCTGACCTACTATTCCACTTTCAAAACAGGCCATAAGATTTTCTCTATCTAGCCACAACATCCTATTCATTTGAGATGTATCTAAAACTACAACAGGCCGCAGTTCGTTTTCTGGACTAGCCACTGCACCCGATACCGAAGTGCCTCCTCCGAATGGGATGATAACAACATTATGTTTATTTGCAGATTGCACAACTGCTGCGGTTTGATCATGGTTTTTAGGCCAAATAACGACGTCGGGTATTCTTTTGAATGTCCCACGTCGTAGTGTATATATGTCGTGCAAGGTTTGGCCGTGCGCTCTTTGGAGCCGGTCTTCTCCTCTTTGGGAAAACTCTAAACCTAACAACTTGCATTCTTCTAAAAATTCCTCGCAAGGCACTGGTTCCGGGTAATCTGTTGGAAGCGGTTGAGGGGGCTGTCTATCATCTAATTTTATATTAAACGTTTCTATTACCCAATCAGTGAACGCGCCCAATTTTAACTCTCCGATGGGATAGCGGTTTCCAGTAAAATATACAGTTTCACCGCGAACTTCGAACCGAGAGTCTTGGTAACCCCAACCATTCCATTTCAATAATTCTTGCCTGAAAATAATTCATCAATAGTTGTAGTAAAAAATAAAAATATTTGTGGGTAGAAATATAAACTTATCGAAAAAACAAATATGCCATCAAATGTATTATGTTGTATGCATCTTATATTGTAATACCATATATGTATATGAAGAGAACAGTTTCTTATTTAATTCGTAAAACCGATTTTGCCGATTATTACCGTATTGAGTATCCTACAAAAAGCACGTTGATTATGTTTAAAATTAAATTATAGTAGTTTTCATAAACGAGTATAATAAATTTGGTTTTTTAGGTAGTGAAATATAATGTAAAAAAAATCCAAATTCAAATGCAAAATTAGTTAAATCATTTTGAATTGAATTTAAAAACCATATCCCATAAATTCCTATTTCAACTTTTAAATAAAAGTGAAATTCGTAGGTAGGTCGCTAATAGAACTAAGAGAAATCACTACACATATTTTGGAGAGTTTGTCTGCTTTGTCTCGAATGCTCTGGGCGGTTTGTTAAAATTTATGATATTGTCTTTTTATACTTTATATTTAATATTTAAATATATTATAAAACTATTATTATTATCCTATAAATGGCCGGTAGTATTCTTATTTTTGCATTTATATATCACTCTATAAAATGATGCATACAATTTAATACTTTCAAAATAGTTCATACTAATTTAAGTAGTTGCTAATTCGTAGTATTTCGTGTTATATAAGAATAAGCATGGCGCATTTAAAATATTCTCTTTAATAATGAGACAAAGAAAAGTGAAAGGATATGTTATGGTCCAAAATAATTTAGTGAATTCAAATTAACTCTATAACGGTTGACTAGCAGCATGCGTGTCGATTTTCTTTTAATAGCACATGCGGTATCTGACAAGTAGTTGATTAATTTGAAATTTGAACAAAAATTATTTGTTAAATCTAATATAGCAACTGAGATATTTAAAAAGGTGGACGTAGAGTTAATTTAATTAGATTCGTCAAACTTTTGCATTGCTCAGTATTTCTAAAGGGGAGCAAGCAAACAACCCTAAATAGTATTATATGCAAGCAACCCTCGCTATCTTGGTTTTGTATAGTTTTATATTTTACTATTGCGTACAGAACTAAAAAGTAATATTAACCCAGCGTTAATTTGATATAGATTTTTGTATAGTATTGATTTAACAAAAATTATACACTTTTTATTTAAATAATTTGTATAATTAAATCCACCGCACATGAGGAACAATTAATATTTTTTACACGTCAACAATTTTAATTTATATTTTTTATTAATAAATACCTATGCTTTGGTATAACACTTTTTATTTGTTTGCAATTCAAATTTTCTTTAACTTTGATTTTATTTCCACGTGAATTTGTTGCATTTTTATCTAAATCAATGTTTTTATCCTCACACACTTGCGGTTCAGTTTTTATATTTTTTTCAACATTTCCATTCATTTTAAAATATATATTTCACGACACATAAAACCATTATAAATAGCTAAAAATGTTCGTAACTGAGTTGAAACGTGCGCGGTACAACTTTATTTCGCGTTGTGGGTTGAGCGTTATATTGATTATATCGTAAATTGTGACAGACTTCAAACCAATGCGTAGGTAATGTAATTCGACTGCAGATGGCAGCTCCTCTTTTAAATTTATGTATTCTATTTCAAATTCATAACATTTTTGAACTTCGTAAGTCTTTCTCTGATTTCCAAGGAAACTACGGCATTAATTTGCTAATGCCATATGAAAAGAATTTCTAGATCAATCTTTCTGATGGATAGGTAGAAATTTATTAAACAACAATTTGATTATTGCTGCTTTCTTGTAAAAATTTAGCATTCTAAAAATTGTCAAAGCCTAATTTATTCTTCATAATATAATGAGGTTTATCATAAAAGATTCCTAACTAAAAAAAACTTGCTGGGTAAATATTTATATAATCATCTAGGCATTATTACCACACGTCGATTTATCTGTACTATTATGTTATTTAAACTTTGCAATAATGCTATAGACCAGTGGTCGGCAAGCTTTTAACTGTGGTGTGCCGAGCCACTCTACCAATATGATTCAGGGTGCCGCCTGAAATATATAACCAGGTTCTGGGGGAGAAGAATTATAACCAAATTTATCTTTTAAACATTTTTATTAACTTGTGGGGTGCATGGCATCGTGCCTTAATTCAAATTGCTAGAACTTCCCATACTGAAATTAAAAATCTTGGTATATACTGAACCCAAAAAAAGTTACACAAAATATGTATACAGTATTAAAATCTCTATGAAGTATCTGATAATTTGATGTACATAAGTCCAATGGGTGTAAAATTACTACAATGTTTGTAAACAATACTACAATGGGTGTAAAATTACTACAATGTTTGTAAACAATACTACAATGGGTGTAAAAATACTACAATGTTTGTAGAAATACTACAATGGGTGTAAAATTACTACAATGTTTGTAAAAATACTACAATGGGTGTAAAAATACTACAATGTTTGTAAAAATACTACAATGGGTGTAAAATTACTACAATGTTTGTAAACAATACTACAATGGGTGTAAAATTACTACAATATTTGTAAAAATACTGCAATGGGTGTAAAATTACTACAATGTTTGTAAACAATACTACAATGGGTGTAAAAATACTACAATGTTTGTAAAAATACTACAATGAGTGTAAAATTACTACAATGTTTGTAAAAATACTACAATGGGTGTAAAATTACTACAATGTTTGTAAAAATACTACAATGGGTGTAAAAATACTACAATGTTTGTAAAAATACTACAATGGGTGTAAAATTACTACAATGTTCGTAAACAATACTACAATGGGTGTAAAATTACTACAATGTTGGTAAACAATACTACAATGGGTGTAAAATTACTACAATGCTTGTAAACAATACTACAATGGGTGTAAAAATACTACAATGTTTGTAAACAATACTACAATGGGTGTAAAATTACTACAATGTTTGTAAACAATACTACAATGGGTGTAAAAATACTACAATGTTTGTAAAAATACTACAATGGGTGTAAAATTACTACAATGTTTGTAAACAATACTAGAATGGGTGTAAAAATACTACAATGTTTGTAAACAATACTACAATGGGTGTAAAATTACTACAATGTTTGTAAAAATACTACAATGGGTGTAAAATTACTACAATGTTTGTAAACAATACTACAATGGGTGTAAAATTACTACAATGTTTGTAAACAATACTACAATGGGTGTAAAATTACTACAATGTTTGTAAACAATACTACAATGGGTGTAAAAATACTACAATGTTTGCAAAAATACTACAATGGGTGTAAAATTACTACAATATTTATCAAAATACTACAATGGGTGTAAAATTACTACAATGTTTGTCAAAATACTACAATGGGTGTAAAATTACTACAATGGGTGTAAAATTACTACAATGTTTGTAAACAATACTACAATGGGTGTAAAATTACTACAATGTTTGTAAAAATACTACAATGGGTGTAAAATTACTACAATGTTTGTAAACAATACTACAATGGGTCGAAAATTAAAAATCAAACGGTATTATTGATGGATCTATGAAATCTGGTTTTATGAGGAAGGAAAATTTAGGCACATAAGCTTCAAAGTCTTTGCATCTGGAAAATTCATCTTTAAGTGCTTCAATGTAGATTGAATTACATTAGCGAGCTACATTAGATAAATAATTATATTTCAACATTTTTTCTTATTTAAAAATCACTTCGTCTCGATATATTTGCGATTGCCCTGATTATTTTGTAGAGTGCCGTAGGTTGCCGATGCCTGCTATAGACTGTCCTCTAATTCTTAACCAACTACCCTTTAATGTTCCTAGGCTAACTTCGCGTTCACAGTTATTAACTTCCCGTAGGGTAAGCTATAGTAATCGCAAAAAAATCGAAAATGAATGAAATGAATTTTTATATATCTCTACGTTTCAAAGATTTCTGAACATTTAGGCATACCTTAAAAAAATGGATGTTTGTGTGAATGTGTGTGTGTGTGTGTGTGTGTGCGGATACAAATTTTCGTCGACGATTTCGAGAACACCGATCAACCGATTCGAATAATTAAAAACATTCGATTTGTATTGATAAGGAGACGTGCTGATTAGTTTTTGGCGAAGGCAGGTCTAGCCGTTCTAAAGATTCGGAACAAAAAGTGCCAAAAACGGTAACTCAGTTTTTGAGAGAACGGAGCGTCCGATTTTAATAATTCAAAAAACATTTTACGTGTATTAACAAGATAGGAAACTGATTAAATTTTTGGGAAGGCAGGTCCAGCGGTTATGGACTCTCAATAAAAATAAGTTAAAAAAATGTTATTTGGCGGTCAAAAATGTTTATTGGACATATCTACATCAAATTATCAGATATTTTATAGTGTGTATTTTAATAATGTGTACACATTTTGTGTAAATTGTAAATATTTAAAAAATAAAATAAAATAATTAATTCATAAATAATATTTCAACAAAAATGATTATAACCACTCAAATTTATCATAGATTCGATGCGTTATCATTTGCAATGATAATGATAGTGATAATGCCAGTGATAATGGTGTAATGATAATAGTTTTGAAGAAGAATTCGGGTTATTCCCTCATTTTGGGATAGGATGCACATCTGAGAATTCACTTACAATTTGTCACATTAATCTGAAATTTTTGAGGCCAGACATTTATCTACAATCTGTCTTTTTCTGTTAATCGTAATGTGAGGTTCTACTTAAGCTAAACTTCAGTTTGAAACTAGTTGTAAGTAGTATTTTGCCTTAAGTTGCATGTACTTCTCGACATAATAACAAAGAATTGATTTTCAACTATTTAGGTAGATTTTTTAACTTTTATTTCGGAAAGGTCCGCATTCAATAACAAATCATAAGATTTCCAATTGACGTCTTTCAAATATGCTTTCATAATATCTGTAATTGTGGAAAATAAATTAATTTATTTAACGCATTTCATTTCATCCATTTCGGGTTCTAATCATTCTGAATCAAATCGCCCAAATTTGGAAAAATTGTTTATGTGAGTGTGGATGTGAGTTGATTTTTGATCTGTCGTCGACATTTTCTGAAAAAACGGACAGATTTCAAAAATTTAAAACTATTCGATGTAGCTCGATAACTATCGGAGAATAGTACAGTTTTTCGCGACGATCGGCCAAGCCTCTTTTCTTTCTAACTAACAGATAAAAGTAAAATTTTCAATAGTCAATCTTGAATCGATTCTAGAAATTCAAAAACTGCTCTAAAGATATTAGTTGGGAATCGACATGAAATTCAGTATGATATGAAACATACATTTCTCATTGGGGAAGTTAATAGTAGATTATTGTTTATTTGAGCTTTGATTATTTGATTTTTAATTGTTGAGCCTTGTCTTATATTAATTTGTTGGCAGCATAAATAAATTAAAATGAAGCAAGGCGTTTTTTTTACATAGGTTAAGGCAGATAGTAAATTCATATACAAATAATAAATTTATTTGTATTTATTTAAACTATTATTTGTCCTTATAAACTAGGTTCGAAGGATGGTTTGACTGTAATCGTACTAGTTCATAAACGTGGTTACCCCCGAGCTTAATTCGCTCTGTAATCACGCTCGCATGTCGAATTACTCGTATCTTGAAGCAATTTTTTTATATAAATACATTGAAATGCGATTAATTTGTTCCAGCATAGTGTTTTTTGATTATAAAAATAAATGAAACTTGATTGCTAAGATCAAATAACATTCACAAAAAACGTAGCAAAAATGACTAAATCATCATTATGCTAGTTTTTACGTTAAGAAAAACTGACCAATGAGCATTTTTTTCAACTTATTATAGTATTGCGAAAATAAGATAGACCTGTTTCGTCAAACAACTATATAATATCTTTTCAACTTTGTCCGATATTGTACGAACAAATGCACAACATCAATATTGTTGAATTAAAAATTTTAACTTTAAATAATTTAAATAAAATATTTGTATGACAGTTACAACTAAAACGTTGTTACAATTGATTTAGATCATGGGTTCCCAAACTTGTTTGTGTTGAGGACTCCTCAGGCTTTAACATGGACCCCTACTTAGCCGATGTCGTTTCTTTTTATAAATTTCTATTTGTACTAACGTTTAGTATTAAACTTTTAAAGTATGGATTCAAATACAAGTTTAGACATTAATCAATTGACATTAAAATAATAATGAAAAAATAGATATTAACAAGGTATGTTGTGAAGTTGTAATCCACTATCGTGGTAGTAATAAAACCAATATGGACTTATGGCATAGAATTATGGGGCTGTGCGAGCCATAGTGCTAATGTGACGTGCCCAATCGAACATATTAAGGCAAGATTACTGATGCTTCGTGATTCGTAAGCAATAAGACCTTACACGACGATCTTCATATCGAATTTATAAACAGAGTTATACAAATCAACAGTGTCAAACATTTTCATAAACTAGAACATCATTCAAATGCTATAGTCACTCAGCTTCTTGAGATACCAACTTCAAGATGACTGAAGAAGATGCTGCTCAAAGATAATATGGAGACCCTTAGAATAACCACAACTTTATATGAACAGAATAGTAGAATTACTTATTGAAGTGATTCTCTAACTATCAATATAATATTCATCAGATTAATTTATATGTGTGTTTGAAAGTGTGTGTGTGTGTGTGCGAGTGACTGACTTAAGCCAAATAGCTCATAGAATCGTCCTGTATTCTGATTGCTATTGAAAATAAAATTAAAACTAGTGGGGTGGGTGGCATCGTGCCTTAAGGCAAATTGCTGGAACTTTCCGTACCGTAACGAAATGTTCGAGGATTACTGAATGATTTCAAATAGATTATTATAAATATTGTAACATTGTCTAATATTTATAAATATTATATAAACTGAATTGCAGAGTTGAAATTATTTGTAACGTATATTGGAACTATAGTCAGAATTAAAAATAAATATTTTCGATATACAAAAAACTAAAAAAAAAAAAAAAAAAAAAAAAAAAAAAAAAAAATGGGGCAAATTTTTTTTATCCAAAATCGATTATTTTGTTAAGACAAGCAGAAAGTTCTTTGAATCATTTAAATCGGACGCTTAGTTCTCTCAAAAACTGCCATTTTTTACATATTTAGCTTTGTATCTTCAAAATGGCTGGGCCTGCCTTTGCCAAAAACTAATAAACACTTCTCCTAATCATTACTAATTGAATGTTTTTTAGATCATTCAAATCGGATACTCCGTTCTCTCAAAAATACGATTTCTATTTTCTGCACTCTTTGCTCCGTATCTCCGAAACGGCTGGACCTGCCTTTTCCAAAAAGTAATCATCTTTTTTCCCTATCAATAGGAATCGGATGTTTTTTGAACCATTCAAATCGGTTGATCCGTGCACCCTAGAACGTGACTGGAAATTTGTATCCACACATACATACATACACACACACACACACACACACACACGCACACACACACACACACACACACACACACATCCATTTTTTCTGAGGTATGACAAAACGTTCAGAAACCTTCAAAACGTCGAGAAATGTAAAATTTTCAATTCCGATTTTCGGCCCACTACAATAACTTACCCTACGGGAAGTTAAAAAAAAACTATCGTGGATGTCTAAAATTTCTTTTCGCTGATTGGACCCCATGAAAGTTGTCATTGACCCCTGAGGGTCCATACTTTAGAAATCAATTATTTGGATGAAAATGTTTTATTCGCAACCCCCATAAGTTTACGTTACGCCTCTCACTCGCACGTATATGGAATTTTGCTTGTATGACGATGCAACGTATTTCTCCTTTGGCGTATCTCGAGAAACTCGTCGCTCGTAAGGCGAGGTACTGTACTTTGAAAATTTGGATATTGTTTTACAGCGATACGTCACAAAATCATTTGTTTTCAATTTTCAAATTCATGCCTAAACCCGATTTCACAATTAAAATAGATGTTTTCTTTGTTCTGCATATATAGCAATTTAAATTAAAGTAACTGTAATATAATGTTTGTATTTATAGAATAATATCCTAATCCCAAACATAAAAATTCGAAGTGGCATTGCGCTCGTTTTACAATATCGCCATCTGCACAGTCGATTCAAATCAACGTGTCTTATGACATGTTCGCGGTGCAAGGTGGTGATAATCTGCAAACTTGAACCACAACGTGTATTCATCTGCTGTTATTTGTTCTAGGTTCTAGTGAGCGCTTTCTTGACATTTCTGAGGGACAAAATTTCATAAGTTTAATAGTGATAACTTGAGAAGATGTCTTCTAAAGCTGTGAAAACTAATGTGACTGATAATGAGAACGCTTGTGTCGTCTGTTTTAAGACCGTCCAGATATATTCAGTGGGCGATTGCGATCACCCCGTTTGCTATGAATGCTCCACGAGAATGAGGGTGCTCTGCAAGCAAAATGAATGCCCCATTTGTCGGCAGGACATGACTAAGGTTTTTATTCAACGGAAGTTGTAGAATTTTAGGCTTAGTAGCATAAATAGAGAAGTATACACACATCGGTATTTTATGTAACTGACATATAAATAGATTGACATTTGCCTGAACAGTTAAATGCTGTTTTAAGAATTTATTAACGAAATCTTCGTAATTATATTTTATTCGTGTCTAATATGTCACAAATTGCTTCAATCAATTTCTTTCGGGCTTACGAATCAACATATTGTATCAAGATTATTTTACATAACCTTCAAATTCTGCAAAGTTGCAAATATGGTGTAATTTATATAAGAACAACCATATGTGTATGAAAGCAACTGTGTATATTCATATATGCATATGTTTATATGAAATTTAAAATTGTATGTATATATACATATATTATATATTATTTTTTCTGTGAAATTAAGAATCAAAACAGAACTATTAAGATAAAATATAAATTTTACCTGATCAAATATAAAACTTTATAAAAAAAAAAAACAGTAAGTTTATATATTATATATAATTATATAATTATGTAATTATTTGTATATATTTATTATTGTGTATAAATTGCTTTTCATAATATTATACCAAAGAATTTTATACATGCACACACACACATATATATATATATATTAGGGTGGTCCTTAAAATAGTCATTTTCGAATTTCCTTGCTCCCAGGGGCTCAAATGGTTCCAAATTGATAAAAAACAATTCTCTGAAAGTTTTAGCCCTTAATATTAACGTTTAGATAGAGCGCAATTCAATCAAAGTTTGTATGGAAAGAGCCTGGAAAAATTTTTGAAAATTAAAAAAAAATGTTTTAAGTATAACTTAGCTACAAATGAATGAGTTTTATTCATTCATTTGTTCGCTAAATTACATTTAAAAAACATTTTTAAAATTTTTGAAAATTTTTTCATACTATTTCCATACAAAACTTTGATTGAATTGCGCTCTATCTAAACGTTAATATTAAGAGCTAAAATTTTCAGAGAATTTTTTTTATCTATTTGGAACCATTTGAGCCCCTGGGAGCAAGGAAATTCGAAAATGACCATTTTAAGGACCACCCTAATATATATATATATATATATATATATATATATATATATATATATATATATATATATATATGGAAGTATGTGAATTTGGTGTTGATATATATTTTGATTCGGGCAGTAATACCAAGTTAAAAAAAACTAAAGCTGTTTAAAGGAGTTTATTTAGCCATACATTTTGGTCTTCGTCAATACTGTCATTCAGTGAAACAACTGAAAGATTTTATAAATAATGTAGAAGAAAAGTGATAAAATTATAGGCTTATATATAAATTCTTATAGAAAAATTACACAAAAATACACTATACTATTACACAGTAATAATTGACCGAAACGTATGGTTGAATAAAGTTTTTTTTTACAACCGCTTTAGTTTTGTTACTTGGCTCTACTGCCAGAATCAAAATAACTCAATATATATATATATATATATATATATATAATATATATATATATTTATATATAACTATACTAACTATACTAATATATATAACTAACTAACTATATCTTTTTTATCCAGGTAATATTTACCAGAAATGTCCTGCCCTTCAAAAGTCTACAGAATTCAACAAATTTATTTGATAGGAAGTATCGCATCGCTTTTATGGAAAGTGACATACAGGCATCTTATAATGAGCTATTGGAACACAATTGTTTCAAATGTAAAAAAGAAAATAAGGTAGCTAACTTTCGGACATTTGCACTGTTAAAAGATCACATGAGACGTGAGCATGAACTGCACTACTGTGACCTCTGTGTAGAAAATTTGAAAGTAAGTTATTTCAAAAAATGTTATTTGCCAAATATAGTCAAGCATACTATTTTAAATTTATTATCATTCATAACAGATCTTTTCTTATGAACGTAGAAGTTACACAAGATCAGAATTAGCACAGCATCGTAGAAAAGGGGACTCAGATGATAAGTCACATAAGTATGCATCTTTTTAATTAAAAAAGTATTAGAGACGTATGCAATAATTTTGTAAATACATAAAATACCACTATATTAAAATTACAAAATATAATTCATTACATGAGCTATTAATATCCAGAAATGTAATTGTGTAACCTTTAAACATGTTCAAAGGGGTCATCCACTATGTGAGTTTTGTGACCAACGGTACATGGATTCAGATGAACTCTTTCGGCACTTACGGCGTGATCATTTATATTGCCATTTCTGCGATGCTGATGGATTTCACCACTATTACAGGTTGGTTTTTACTAAATTTAATTATTTATTAAATTTCCATAGCTACTTTTCTTTTAGCTTTAGTAGCACTTGATACAATCAATGAATTTTCTATTTCATAATCTAAATTATTCTTTATTCACACTTAGTATTTTATTATTGCAGCTCTTACGAATTTCTCAGGGAGCATTTTAGAAATGAGCACTATCTATGTGAAGAAGGCGATTGTTCTGATATAGAATTCACATCAGTATTTAGGACAGAGATTGATCTTAAAGGTGAAATATTATAATCTAAATTTCATAGTTGGATTATTGAATGTTGTGTATTATATTTTTGTAACAGTTGTGATTTCACAACAGCTCATAGGGCATCTGCTCACATTCGTACAATGGGTAAAGTGGCTGCAAAGCAAGCTAGAACTTTAGAGTTAGAGTTTACATTAGCGCCTAGGAGTAGAATGGAAAATAATGCCAGAACTCCACAACGGAAGTTCCAGAACGGTAGAAGTAGTGCACAAGATGACAGGTAAGACAAAAAGACAAAACTTTGTTGGTAATGTTTATTGATAGTCCACATGAAAGCTTTATTTAATTTTACCTGAAAGACAAATTAATTCTCAGGTGGATTTATTTTTATGTACATTGTTGTTAATTCACAAATGATTGTGATATTTTTGGTTGTACTGAATTGTTATTAGTGTTAAGAAAATATTTATAAACATCTCAAATTTATGATAACAACTCTTATTTGAATTGTATTTATATTACATAAAATATTAGAAGTGAAGGAGCCACCGGTTACGACAGCGGTCAAAATGATCCTGGACCAAGTACAGATTATGCTGAACATATCAATAACTCTGTGAAACTAAGAGTAGATCCCTTAAATTCGGAGGATTTTCCATCTTTGATTTCTGGAAATGGGACTAGTTCTTTAAATAGGTAGGTTGAAGCTAATTTCGCAAAGGTAATAAAACAAATTTATTTCCAAATGTTCTTTCCTAATTATGAAAATAAAATTTTAATTTAGAACTTGCTCAATTATTATTCAGATGGCACAAGCATCTTAGTTGTATTATCCCTTTTTTTTTAACCCTTTGCTTGTTATTACTATAATAGTTACAAAAAATAATCTAATGCTTCGGCACTTACATTCATTCTGACTTAGGCATAATGTTCCAACACGAAATGTGAGATCTAGTTCAGGAGCACAAGCTCGTTCTAAAGAAGATTTTCCTGCCTTGGGTCCGCCTAGCTCTAGTTCTGAACCTGTATCAAATTCAGCACAATTCCGTTTAAGTGTTCAAGGAGGTCCATCCAGTGCTATCATACGTAATAGCAACAATAAACCAAACGTGTCGATACATGTGAGTAACAGAAGTAATGGCGCAGTAACAATACCCAACAAGGTTAAAAGTGCTTCTAGAGAAGATGACTTTCCTCAGTTGCAACCAGTCAATTATAAAATGCTAGGTGTGTCTCAGAAACATAGGTCGTTGGTTTCTGACAGTTATAATTCAGTTAGTAGTTCCGTTGCACCCTCTAAGGTAAGTGGTTTTTATATAATTGTTATAAAAATATTTTTAACGCTCAACCAAATACTAAACTTTGATGATTTTTTTTAATTCAGCCGCTTATCATAGGCTTATAATATTTTAGTTATGTTATTTCAGACTACTAAATCTATCCGTATACAAAGTTCCATAAAAATCATAAGAAAAAAAATTAACATTTATTTAGAAAGAAATGATCAGGCCGATCTTTACCAGAAACTAATCAATACAATTCCTGACAAATATGTTTTTGAATCTTTAAAATTGATTTAAGATTGTGGGCTAAAACGTGGATGAAAAATGTTACTTTTTTTTTTTTGTTACAAAAAAACGGCTTGGTAAACGAATAAAGCAAAACTGACAAACACTAGCCCTTATTAATCTACATAATGTTTTTTATATTTTTAAAATTGGTCCATTCGTTTTTGAGAAAACGCCAAGGAAAGATAAAAAATCGGCTCACACATATACGTACACACACTTCTTCGAATTAGGTCTCATTCGATTCACATAAAATTAGCAAATCGGATTTTTTCGCGAAAACAAACTTTTCCTTGGGGAAGTTGATTGGATGTGGATTGTATATTTAAATGAAAAAAGTAAAAGTAACTTTGTTCTTGATACCTTTAATTACATATGTAATTAAATAATTAGGTGATGAAATAAGTATTTGTTACTTTTAGGTTTCATTAGTAAAAAAGGAGCAACAACAGCGTTTGTCACAAGATGATTCCACAAAAAAAGTGTCAATTAATAGTGTGGGAGACTTCCCATCTTTAGGAAATAACTATTCAGAACCACAGCAGTCGAATCCTCAGTGGTTATCAAATAAGCCAAAAAAGCAATCAAAGGTAATGCTGAAAACTTATATTCAAAGATTTTGTAATATCACATTGTAATTATAACATTTTCCAATAAAATTAAAACCAATGTAAAAAATGTATCTTACATTAAATTGAATATTTCACAGGTTGCCCCTGCTCCAGTGTTACCAAAGTCGCAATGTCTCACTGATGCTTCTGCTTTCCCAACATTGAGCAGATCTGATCAAAAGAGTCAAGGCAATTATATGAGCTCGAGCCAAAGTAGTACAAATGAATTAAAAAACTCAAAAAATAAGAAGAAAAAGGCCATGCCAAATGATTCAAGTCGAAAAGAAAACATTGACAGAAGTAAAAGTGAGGCACCTGCTTATGAAACTGTGAAATCCAAAAAAGACAAAAAGAAAGAGACTAAGAGATCAGAATTAACGATTGATTCCATTAATTCAAATCAAAATATTGCCAATAACTTTAGAAATAATTCTGACTCAATTAGTAGAAGTACAGATAGTATTTCTGCTCCACCAGGGTTTAAAGCTGCGCAAGGCCCTTCTCTCGCTAGTCGAATTAATCCACCTCCAGGATTTAGTTCTCAGGAAGCAAATAATTTAACCTTCATTAGCTCGAGTGGCCAAGCATACAATATTCTCCCTGGTAAGAATATATATATATATATATATATATATATATAAATTTTTTTATGTAATTTTGATGTTGAAATATGTGAGATTCAGTTATCAGGGCAATACACCAATTAAAAAATTTGTATGATATATTTATATATATATATATATAATTCAAGAGGCCATTTTGGTCTATAATTTTCAAAAAGTTGATTTTGTATTTTCTTTGTGTACATTCAATATTTAACTGTTCTATAATATATGTACAATAGGATTTTTCAAAATTTAAATTATTTTCGGAGATATAGCTGTTAAACTACTATAATCCTTCTGCTTCTCCGCCGCGAAACTTTAAACATGTTTTTCTTGAAACTAACGATTTTTTGAACAACCTTTCACTGGACCAATTTACTTGAAATTTTTACAGACCGTTCTTTATTTATTTATTTATTTATTATACGCCAATCGGCTATATACAGTTAATTATTTACAGTAAATTTATAATACAGTTAGTTTATAGAATTAGTCTCTTCAAGATGAACTAGGCTTATCTTCTAATTTCATTTTTTACTATATTCAAAAAATGGAGAATATTAAAAACAGTTATAGAAAAACAGTATTTTATGAAAAAAACATTTTTTAACTTGTCCGCTGTTTATACAATTGTAGATCAATATATAATTTCTTCAGATTATTTGAAGGGCTAAAATTGTGGGTATGGTCAGATACCAATTTCTTGAGACCCCCCACCTCATCACTTTTTAGAACTGATTTTTTGGACAATTTTTAATTTTTTCTTTTTCTTTTATTCTCAAAACATTCATTAATAATGTGTACAAAAAGAAAAAATTGTAAAAATATTATTGTATGCCCTTTCAGAAATCGCATAAAATTAATGCCTCCCTTAACACGGTGTAATATAAATTAGATGTGTTACTAGAAGAAATAAGAACTTTAATTTAGGTTTTGAAATATTCTTTGGCATGTTAAGTAATGAACCCATGGCTACTGAACCTTTTGAATAATGGTGTTCCTGTATGGCTAAAAAAATTTGTGCTGGTGATTCTTTTAGCATGCTAAGCATGAAAACCATTGTCTGGTTTAATGCTGGGTTTAAGCCCTGCACATAATGCTCGCCCGCGTTGGAAAATGCAAAAATTTGCTGAAAATAAACTTGTTCCTGTAAGCTTCAAATTTTTATATGATTTTATATGATCATTGAGAAATTCAAAAATCAAATTGCCAGGTGATTTCAATCGGGCTGAAACCTGCCAGACTATGGTTGTCGTACTTAGCATGATACAGAAACACTGTTTTTCATAAGATTATATAATATAATTATGACTTATGTTTTTTTAATACAGGCAGTTATACTTATGCACAACCAAAGGGTTTCTCACATCGAAACAAAATTTTAGTGGAACGCTTTCAAGACACCCTCTGCTCATCACTTGCAATGGCAGACTTTCTTGAAGTATCCAAATTATTTAGGGAAGGAATTTTATCAGCGCAATCATTTTATGATCATTGCATTAAAGCTTTGGGCAAGGATTTTGATGAAATCTTTCCAGAGTTGCTTGCTTTACTGCCCGATATCTGCAAGCAACAGGAATTATACTATATTTTTATCCAAAGTGAAAAATCAAATGACAAGATTGAGATGTGTGCCACATGTCATCAAGTACTTTTGCGTGCCGATTTAAAGCATCATGTGTTGACCCACTCATTTGAAAATCACTTTCCGGTTTTAGGAAATGAAGTGCCTCTTTCAAACGTGTGGAAAAAATAATGTCCCAGTGAACTAATTAACTAATTACCAATTTTTCTGTTAACATGCATATACATATATGCATGGTATTTATATGCACATGTGCATATGAAAATCCCTTTTTGTTATTCCTAAAGATATTTTATGTAATTTTATAAAAGAATAAATGTAAAACAAATTATGTATTACAAAACAATCTATTTGTGGATTTATGAGGAATATAAATACAATTATTTTCATTATGTGGCATTTTGTGTGAATTATTTATGAAGTATATCATCATGCCACCTTTAAGGTTTGCAATTTTGATTAAGGGGGGCGATACATGTAATCGCCTTAATTTTTACCATTTTTTGAGGACTTTTTAAACTGGGAAGGAATGATTGAATCTTTTTGAACTTTTTTAGGGTTATTTATTATATATTAAAATACACAAAAAAAATTTTTTTTTATTTTTTTCTTTTTAAATGGCTGCCGTAAAAATAAATCTGCCAAGACCCTCTCGGGAAACGCCATCAATTTGCGGGCGTTCTCACTTTTCGTACGGTGATCTGAATTTAAAAAAATTAGTTTGTACGTGTTCATAAAACATATATCTTCTAGTTAAACCAAAAAAAATTAAAAAAGTCACAAAATCGTAATTGGCACACCTTAGAAAAAAAAAGTTCGATTTTTCACCTTTTTTTTCAATGGTTTTTTTGGTAAAAGGGTTAATTTTTGAAACATTTTTGGAATGTTTGAGGTTTAACTAGAAGCTATTACTGTAAAGTAGATGTGTGCAAAATTTCATTGGAATCGGTTGAGAACTTTTTGAGTTATCCCGCCCGCAAGTTTCAAAAATGTCGTTTTGAGAAAAACGCGTTTAAAGTTTTGACACATAGAACAGATAAGAGTTGAGGCGTGGCACTTAAATGAGTTTTTATTGTATAAATAATGATAATTTTGTTTTGAATATTGACAGGCATATTTTTGAGATGTTATTGTAACGATTTATGAAAAAAAAAAAAAACGATTTTTTTTTTCTTGTTACATGTATCGCCCCCCTTAATGCTGTTAGAGTAACAGTTTTCCACAAAAATGGCAACAAATATGAAAAATTTCATCAGTTGTGATAATGATTTTTCTACCATAGGAATATTTTGGGCTGTTTTACGACAGTAAATTATTTTATAGTTATTTATTTCAACTATATGTTTTTTTTTTTTTCAACTTCAAATATTTATTTTCATATCTCAGTCAGACGGGTGTCTGGTATGAGAGATTATGAAACAATTTTCATATTTTATATATACATATCATTTGTCTACTTCATTATACAATAATATAATATTCATTATAATTAAAATATCTTTAAATATCTATTAAATCTTCTTTGTCTTCAATTTGTTTATAATATTTCTTTTAAAATTATTGCTGTCACTGGTATTGTATTCTTAATATCGATTGGCAGTTCATTATAAATTTTACTTGCGCTCCATATCACATTTCCTTTTAATTTCTTCTTTTCTATTATGTTCAATGTGAAAATTTTTGTGTTGTCTAGTGTAGTGTTCATGTATATATTGATTTATGTCTATTGTTGTACTTGTTTTAATTCTGTTAGATTTCATTTTGTGTATTAATTTGCATTTGTGTATTAATACATCCTTGCCATCCTCCATTTTGCCATTGCCATTTTCTTAAAACATTAAGATATTCCCGAATATATTTGTACGGGTAAATCTTTACTATACAATTATATTAATGTAAAGGAAATTATTAAAATAAGCAATATAATAAATAATACAGATATAGAAGAAGTAGAATATATAAAATACTTGGGCCTTATAATACACGAAAAGCTAACATGGACAAACCATATAAATGAAATTATTATTATTATTATTTATATTATATTATATTATTATTATTATTATTATTATATTTTTATCTATAATCTGTTAAAGCTCAGAATATTCTGAGCTCTAACAGATTATAGATAAAAAAAAAAACAAAAAACTTGCAACAGTTCGAGCATGGGAGTAACCATTATTAGTATATTGTCTAGGGGAGTAACTAAACACGTCTAACTCATTTTGAATGACAGAAAAAAACAAATTTATTTTTAATATTCATAAAACTCAATAATAACCACAGTGCTGAAACGAATTAATGCCATTTCAATGTAATTATGTGAGAAAAATTGCTTCGAGATGCGAGCGGGGTTACGAAACGTATGTCCGGGTAACACTGTATTATATTGTCTAGGATTATTTACAGAAAAGAATATTAGTAATTTTGATATCGTCCAGAATAACAATCCTAGTTAATTAAATATTAATATGTATGTATATGATATCAAATGCAATCAAATGCTTACAAGCACATGTGGTCATGCGTTTGACATGTGTGTCACGGTCACACATATGTCAAAATGACCAAAACATCAAAGTTAAACGTCAAAAAATGGTTTTAAGGTTTAGTATGCGCAGTACAAAGTTTAGTCCGAAAAATTATCAATTAAAACCTTAGTGATACAAGTATTATATAAATGAAAACATTTCTGTGCAATTATGTAGATAGATAAATAAAGCCGTAGTCGAAATCGCGATGTTTCGAAGTCGCAGTTGGTTTGGAGGTAACTGGGGCCGCCCTAGAAATCCGCATTCGTTAGACCACTTGAAATATCTTTATAGTGTTATGTCCAAAAATCCAAGTATTACGGAACACAATAGAGGCCTATTAGTTGAATCATTGCGTTGTATAGCGGAAATTCTTATTTGGGGTGATCAAAATGATTCAACAGTGTTTGAGTGAGTATATCATTTTTCAATATAGTTTACTAATTGTAGCTCCAACTTGCAAACTTCAATTTACATTGAGTTATTAGTAATAACTATTGTTGGGAAAAAATTAAAAATTTTAAAAATTAAATTATTCTTTACATGGCACACTTTTCTTTATTCTTCTTAAGCAGTTACAGTAATTTTACTTCAGAATTGAATTCATTGTAATAATTTTTATTATATGGCTAATAATAATTTTCAGTTTCTTTCTTGAAAAGAATATGCTCTCATTTTTTCTGCGAATAATGCGACAGAAAAGTGGAGGATCGAGCTTTGTTTGTGTCCAATTATTACAGACCTTAAATATTTTATTTGAGAACATTAGGAACGAAACTTCTCTATGTAAGTAAATTTAGACTATTTTCTGCAAATGATTATATTGAAAATAAACATTATCCTATTGTAATAATGTGATTCCTATATCATATTTCTGATAAATAATATTGTATATTCAGGTACTTAAGTTAAAGCAAAGAAAACAGATATCAGAGAAAATATTGTACTTTTCTCAATCAAAAATACTGATGTGTAGCAGTTATCATGCTTATTTTATGTATTTCTTAATATCATATTTCTTTTATTCAACACATTCAGCAAGATGTTCTCCTAATTAAAATAGTTTATTATTTTGCTGCTAAATATATATGTGATATTGAATAATTAAATTAACATTTATTATTTTTATAGATTATCTCCTAAGCAATAATCATGTTAATTATATAATTGTACATAAATTTGATTTTTCTGATGAAGAAGTTATGGCGTATTACATTTCATTTTTAAAAACATTGAGCTTGAAGTTAAATGGACATACCATACATTTTTTTTATAATGAGGTAAATAATACAATATCTTATATAATCATATTTGAAATGCTTCAATATTTATTCCAAGTTAATTATTTTAGCACACCAATGATTTTCCTCTGTACACAGAAGCAATAAAGTTTTTTAATCATCCAGAATCAATGGTCAGAATAGCTGTGAGAACATTAACATTAAATGTGTACAGAGTTGATGATTCTAGTATGTTGACTTTTATTAGAGATAAGTATGTGTTTACTTATTCTGATAACTTTTTGCTAGATTATGCATACATATTACTCTCATTAATTATACATAGTAGAGATTTGATTTATCTCATTACATTTCTAAACAATAACTAGAAAGATGTGAGATATTTCCAAAAACAATAAATTACTGTTTTATGTTTTATTTGAAAAGTACATTCTCATAATTAGATAGTATCAGGAAAGATATTTGTCTTTCATAGTTAACTGAATCTAAAATCTATAAAGATTATAAATTACTCCACTTTCTATTCTAATTATTATTGTTAGTTTGTTATTTGCTTTGCTTTAATCTATAGGTTCTAATACTCCCACTCATTTTTGCTTCAATTTTTAGGACTGCTGCCCCATACTTCAGTAATTTAGTGTGGTTTATCGGTAAACATATCTTAGAGCTTGATTCATGCGTCCGTAATGATTCAGAGTGAGTTTAATAAAAGATAGAAGTATAATTTTATACTACTCAGCAATGAGACTAATTTTATTCTAAACTCTTAGTCATCTGTCACAGAACCGATTAGCAGACTTAGTGGCTGAACATTTGGATCATTTACATTACCTGAATGATATCTTATGCCTGGATATATCAGATTTAAATGCAGTATTGACAGAGCATCTATTACATAAGCTTTTCGTGCCTTTATATATTTATTCACTGACACCCCCACCGAGCATGTCCATGTTGAATGCTACACAAAATCTAGCTGAAGTATTAAATAAGTCTTTGGAATTTGAAAGTGGCAATAACAAACGGGTTTCGTGTATTGTTGCATTATTTCTTTTGTCTCAAGTGTTCTTGATAATTACACATGGGCCTTTAGTACATTCATTGGCATGGGTTATTTTAAACACTGACCATAGAGTTTTTAAAAATGGAGCTTCTGAGGTATTGAAAAGTTACATGAATAAGCAAGGCGTGTTGAAGCTGTGTTTTCAGCAACCAGCAGAAGATATTAACAAAGATCAAAGGGAAGTAAATGATGAAACTGTTCCAGAAGCTAGTATATCTCAGAATGATTCAAGGTATATGTTCTTAAAACTTACTTTAAAATAATTTTTAAACAATATTTATTAAAGATTTATAACTTATTTATACATAATATCTTAGTAAGGCAAACACAGCTTCGAGTATGGATGAGACACCAGAAGGCTCAACTACTTCGATTGATGTCTCAGAAAACTTAAGTAATGCAGATAATTGTCAAAACCCTAATATTACTGATGAAGAAAAACAACAAAGACTTTCTATAACTAATTCTCCTGTAGAGGCTTCCACAACAAATGATGATGTGGGTTCCAGGCCTTTTCTTGAAACTATTATGGCGGCTTTGGATTGTTCTGAAAATGATTATATGGCCTTGTTTGCTTTGTGCCTGCTGTATGCTCTGTTAAATAATAAAGGTAATTCATGTGTAATGTTGATCATAAATCATTCTGATATGTTTGCAGAGTTTGATTTTCATAAACTTTTTTATATAAACTTACTTAAAATATTAGTCAAAAGATTTTTATTTTAGATATTAGTTTTTTCTTAATTGAGTTAAATCATAATTTTTGTTTTGGAAAATTTGTATATTAACTGTACAGTTTTTAAATTTGATATATTCTGCATTAAAATACATGAATCTATTTCTAAATCAGTTTCTTTCAATATTTATAATTTTGAAATAGCTTTTTCTAATTCTTTTTAGTAATAGATATATTGAATTTAGGTCTAATTTTCAAAAAGCGAATTTCGAAATATTTAATGTTATTCATTTCATTTATTTTGCATCTCACATGGAATTCTAGATGGTAAGTATTTAAGAATAAATTTTATTTGAATGACTTTTGAATGGATTTTTTTTTATATATTATTTATCTATTACATAGGTCTAAACTCTGAATTATTAGATATTGTATTATGTCCTTCTCGCATCAGTGGCCCGGTGAGGTATCATGGAAATCTCATGGAGAAACTTGTAACGATTGTTAATTTATCATGTCAGCCAGGTATGTAAATTATTAGTACTACACAATAATATTGTTCAAATACCATTAAATAATTGCATTAAAAAATAACTTTGGCATTCCATAAAATAGTAAATCATCCAATTTAAAAATATTTTTCAAATGCGTATATATTAAACAACAAATGAACATGCATTTGATGGCTGAATAATTGTTATATTAATAATTTATTTAATTTTAGCTTGTCGGGTTAGGCTTGTGACACTAGAACTAAGTTTACGACTGTTAATATTATTAGTAAAAGAAACTCCTGATAGTATAAATGGTTTGCTTGGAGCTTTGCAAGGTGCTAGATCTCAAAGTACTGCTTTGCTTAGAAATTTCTATAGAACTGAAGAAATATTTTTGGACATGTTTGAACATGAGTAAGTGAACTTGTATAGTTATTGTATAATATTTCTTATTGTTTATTCCAATTTCCTGTTTTTTTTCTTCATTGTATTCAAAATAAATATATTATGGTATTTATTTTTGTCATTATGTTTATAAATGTTTATTGATTTTTTTTCTCAATTAAGATATGCAGAAATGTGTAAGAGACCATTAAATGTTGAATGGCTATGTATGGACAGCGCAGTTCTACTTCCTCCAACGGGTACACCTTTAACTGGAATAGCATTAGATAAAAGACTACCTTGTGGAGAGGTAGAGAGGGCACGTAGAGCTATAAGAGTTTACTTCCTAGTTAGATCAACTATACAAAAATTAAAAGGACACACTGAAACCCAATTGCCATTATCTAATGTCAGTGATTGTGTGCAAGTTGAAGCTGTATTAGATTTGAGTAAGTATTTACACAAAAAAACATATTTCATTAAATTATAATAACTAGTCATTTAGTTCAAATGTTTATTCATATTAATTGAATGTTTAATTCTTTTTTCTTTTCTTTTTTTTGGTCTACTACCAGATAACAGTGATCTCATAGCATGTACCGTGGTTAGCCGAGATGGATCTAAAGTTCGTAGATTTTTAGTGATAGACATTATGCAGCTAATATTAGTAGAACCTGATACCAAGCGATTAGGATTTGGCATAGCAAAGCTAGTTGGATTTTTGCAAGATATTGAGGTATAAAATATTATTTATGAGTAATGAAGTGTTTCAATATTAATCAAAATTATTAAAGGTGACTGGAGATAAAGAAGATCCTCGATGTCTTCATATAACAATCCACCGTCCAAACAGCAGCATAGGAATAAACAGAGTGCCTTTGCTGTCTGCTAAATTTATTTTTGATGATCACATACGAAGCATGGCTGCTAAACAAAAATTGACAAAGGTATTATCATTATTAATCAAAAATCTAGATTTATAATCATTAATATTTTTTACATTTGACAAATCCTAAAATAACTTATTGCTTTCTGAATATACTTATTCTTTAAATTTACATTTAAATCAATACAAAAATATTAATTTTAAGAGTGTACTAAACTGTTCTTTTTTAAATCAGATAGTTTTATTAGAACCAAGAGTGAGAATACATTGATTTGGGTCTAGTATTATATTAGTAATATATGTTTTTTTGATATTAAAGGGTCGTATTAAAGCAAGAGCCAAGAAAATGCAGCTAATAGCACAGCTTTTAGAAATTCCTGGTCAAAATTCTACTCCAAACTCAAACATTCTTTCACCTCATGGCAGTACAAGATTGTCACTTGGTTCAAGAAATAGCAGAGACCACAGGCCACTTTTTACAACTGCTCATAGAGTACCTGGCTTTGCAGCAGCATTGAGACGGGATAGTCTGCCAGGCAGCGTTAGCAGAATACAACTAGCTGCAAGGCAAGCACATTTGATTTGTGGAGGCATTACAACTGATACTGTTTATTATGCAAATGAAGTATCAGATGGACCAAATTGCAACAGCTCAACAGGAACAAACTCGAGAGAAAGTAGTCCTCAAAGAAGTTCACCTAGTAGAGAAGGGTCTAATTCCCGAGCCCATTCAAAAAGTCGAACAAAATCACGTGACAGTAGTCCTAAAATTCCAAGGCCTAAATCAGAGGAAATACCTTTGGAAGAGATGCGTCTCTCTCAAAATCCTAGTTCCTCAGCAAGTACTTCTCTTGCTATCGAAGCAAGACCTCAAACCCCAAAAATAATGGAAAATATAAATCAGGTTACAGAAAATATCCCAAAAGATGTTAAATCTGAAGAAACGTCATTCATAGCCAAAAGGAAAGGAATGGTTGAAACTGTTTGATATTATAATGTTTTAACTATATTTGTAAATTAACGATGATACTCTATTTTATATATATATAATAATATATAATATTATATATATAATATTATATAAGAATATATATATATATATATTCATCCAAAAATGTAAATTATTTATTCTTGTTTGATAAAATTATTTTATTTGTACATATTTAATTCAATGTATCATATGTATAGTCATTTATTTTATAAAAAGATCATAATCAAATGTTACTATTTTAACAAATGTTACAATAAAATTTATATATCAGAACTTGTATTTTTGTACTCAGCATATTAAATCAAAACAAAACCAAAAATATAATAAAAATAAATATATAAAATTCTTAATGCTTTTATTAAGTTTGAAGATTAAAATCCCACCGCATCAAAGATTTATAAATAGAATCTAAAGAAATGTTTCATATAAACAAATAATGCATTACGTGGTGCACAACATTGATTATAGTAGATACCGTTTTAGATTAAGAAATTATAAAATAAACTACTTTTTTTAAAAGTACATGTACACAATTACGATCGTAAATTTTGGTATAAGTTATAAATATCTATATTCGGAAATGTTTTATATCATCGAGACTTTGAAATAAATATTTTGCGCGCTCGGTTATGTCGAAGATGGCACACCTGCCTGAATATGTTACCAACTTCATATGAAGTGTAACAAGTGAAGAACCGCCAAACAACTTGCGCACTTTTCTGTTGTGATCGCTGTCATTGCAAGCGTTTGGTATTAAGTGTGGTTCAAACATTATTAGCAAGGTAGAGGTTGCTCGATCAACTAGAATTCCTGCAAGTTCGTCTAAAAGATTCAATCTGGCTCCTTTCACCCCTCAAATAGAAACACCGGTAAGTCTAAATTTACGATTGGTTCTTTATTTAAGCTTTTATTTTCAGCACAATATATCACAATAAAAAGTCGTTATTATAACTAAGTAATGTTTTAAAGCGTTAAAAAAGCAATGCTTAAATGTATTATCCAAAGGCATTTATATGAAATCTTATTAACTTTCTAACGTTCCTGTATGGAACTTGTAACATTACAAAGGCGCAGATTATAATGCAAATTTATGGCAAAATTGTATCCTGATATCAAAAATTGACACAGGTTTGAAGTCTTGAATATGGGTCTTCTTTTACTTTTACTTTAGGTAATTCTTGTCACACATAACCTAATCACGCAATACTGTTGCATGTGTTTTTATAAGTAGCATCAGCATGCGAATTAATCCTTTATAGCATTGCTGTAATTGGATTGTATATCATAATTTTGGATAAGAGTATCCATAAAAATGACGTAGTGGCACAGATAGCAACTCCTCCCCAGCCGAGGTCTAAGCTCCAAGCTGTTGAGAAAATTCTTGCCCCCATTAGCCCAAGAACTTCGCTCTTTGTTCCTCCAACGACTCCGTCAACTGTGCCGTCATTGTTTTCATCCAAAGTAGGTTTTCCTTGTTGCCGTTTGAAGTGAATGATCATCAATGTGAACAGAGCAAATAATGCTGTAAAATTTTATGTGCGTTAGTTATACATTACATTTTATTATAGAATGAATAGTTTCATTAATTTTCTTCTATACAATTTTGCTCTTCTGTGGTCATACTGTTCAATTTGGTATGAGCGCCAGAAGTAAAGTTTGCTTAAAGGGCAATGCTTAAAAATATTGTATTAAATTTATTTTATTAATTTAAAGATATTCATGAATCTTTCAAAATATTTTTAGTATTCGACTAAAATTTTAATTTTTTTTTTTTAAACTTTTCAGCTTTATTGTAAGCTGTTCTTAAATACAAATACTTATTTTCACCTGCGAGTAAATACATAACTCCAGTAACTAATACTGCACTGACTTGTCTCTGGCAAACACCAAATGCTCCTACCAGTGCTGCACTGCCTAATATTATCAAACATACTAACGCACAAGAAATTGATAAGTTTTGCATTCCTAGAATGAAAGAAAATTAAATTATTATAAAATTGAATCGCAGCAAAAACATGTTTCTCAAAATCGTCAATGAAAATGAAATTTGCATATATAGCGGGATTTTGTAAACTTTGTTGTTTGTGATTATCGCAAGAGAATTAGTTAGAAAGATGTTTAAACTAAATTTGAAATATTGTATACTTCTGTTGAACAATATGAAATATTCTTTGCGAAGTAAAATACTTGTGGCTATAGCATTGTCATTTGTTGACTTTATTTTCAATCGCTTTATACATAATATACACCTAGGTCTGTTTTTACACGGTCTTTTTGTACACGGTTTTGATATAACACGGCTTGAAAATTGAATATTTTTAATTTTTTTACACGATTTTATTCCATTTAGCACGATTTGAAATTTTATGTACTTAAATTTTTTTTGCCAAATTTAATTTTTGCGAAGTATGTTCATATCACAAAAAAGTATTTATGAAAGAAAAAAGTCTGAAACCATCGATAGTACGATAGTTTGCGAACACTAGCTTAAAGATTTAAGTGAACTCCCCTTTAGCGCGTACAAACAATTTTTACTGGTCAAAGCAAATGTGAATAGCACTAATTTAGAAGAATTATTATTAAAATAAACATGAATTCTTGTTCTTGAAAATTCCTGTTTTTCACTAATTTTAATAGGTTTTAGAGATTAGGAACAAATCACCCATTTTTGTATAAGATCAATGTCTTTTTTTACACGTTTTTTTTTTTACACGGCTTCTTCTGGAACCAATCTCCGTGTAAAAACAGACTTAGGTGTATTTAACAATTTTATAATTGGGTTCTTTATATCGATAGTTCTTCTTCCTTTGGATTATGCATGGTGATTGACTGCAAGATTGAATTTCTCGAGTTGTGGGATTTTAGTTGGGTCACTACAATGACTTGATATGTATGCAAGAATTTTGAATCTACTTACTGTGTTGCCAGTCTGCCCGTGGTTCATCTCCTCTCATTCCATCTAGTTTTCCTTCGAATCTCATATCAGTCTTGTCCTCTAATCCGCCAGCTAAATAATTATCACAAGTTTTGTTGCGTGGATATCCGATTCTGCTTAACAAACGCGTTTCGTGCTCATTCAAATTGACGCATAGTGTCCATATTCCGCCGTGCATTGGTACGAGGAAGGCGCCTCCGCCGCCACTGGTCGATTGGCTTCCCTTTGCTCCCGCGCGTTTGCCCAGCCGCGCCACTGAACCGTCCAAAAGCCAATGTATCGAACCTGGAAATATTCAATTAATTGAAAACAATTATTTGTTATTAACGATGTTTATCCGTTTGACTGCGAAGAAGCGCTTACGCGCTCCAATATTTTGTTTCTAAAACGCTACGCAACGCGATTGCTTTAAGGTGGGAGCCTTCTTTAGAGGCTAAAAAAAAATCGATTTTTTCTTGCAAAAATGTATTCCAAAACTAGCCAAGAATACATCCCTTGAGTTTCAAAAACAAATTTAAATTGTTTTCGGAATTAAAGAAATAATGTGCAAGCGTCAAGCAAGCATGTATACGAGCAGAACGAAAACTTCGACGCGCGATTTCTCGGTTTTTAATTTTTGATTCTTTCTAATTGGCGGAAAAACTAGCTGTAAGTGGAATTCTGTCTTAAGGCAATTAGGGCATCGTGCCTTAAGGCAAATTGCTGGAACTTTCCGTACCAAAAATTATTATTTTTTTTAAAAACGATTAACATTTTTGAAAAAAAATTACTTCGAAAAAATAAGATTTTTGAGAAACTATAAATTTGACAAAAAATTACTTTTTTTTTGAAAAAAAAATTATTTAAATTTTTTTTTTTAAATCTTGTTTTGAAAAAAAAATGTTTTCTTTATTTTGACATATGTTGGAAGATCTGAACTTTTTTTTCAAAGCAATCGTACTGCTTTAAATGCATAGAGACAAAATATAAAGCGCGTAAGCGCCGCGTCGCTGTCTAACGGGTAAACATTGGTACGGAACCCATAGGAATGCAAACAAAATTTATACTTATTGTTAAAATCTCTATAAAATATCTGATAATTTGATGTGCATATGTCTAATGATCATTTTTGACCGCCAAATGGCATTTTTTTTTTACTTTTTTCGTTATATCTCCGAAACCGCTAAACCTGCCCTTGTAAAAATTTGATCAAATCTTCATCTTGTCAATACAAGTAAAATGATTTTGAATTATTAAAATCGGACACTCCGTTCTATTAAAAACTGAGGTACCGTTTTTGGCACTTTTTGCCCCATATCTTCGGAACGGCTAGACCTACCACGGATCGAATGTTTTTTAAATTATTCAAATTGCTTCATCCTTGTTCCCGAAATCGTCGACGAAAATTTGTATCCGCACATACATACATACTACGCACACACACACACACACACACATCCATTTTTTCTAAGGTATGCCAAAACATTAAGAAACCTCTGAAACGTAAAGATATATAAAAATTTTCATTTTCGATTTTTTTGCGATTACTATAACTTACCCTACGGGAAGTTAAAAATTAAACGTCCTGTCGAAGCGAGACAAAATTCATTGTATTCAGGATTAAATTCTATTCTAGTTGAACCTAGTTATAATTATAAAGTTATAATTAACCCACTTTTTAATCAATCTAAAACGAAATTTTGTATCAAAAAACATTTGATTTTTTCCAAGTTGCGAAAAACTGGTGAAGTTTTAATTTTTTTTATCAGTTTTTCAGTTTTTTAGGTTCATCTAGAATCTGTACTATCGAAAACATACATTTGTTTCGATTTTTTTGTTTCGGATGGGAATAGTGTACTGCACGCTCGTTTTGCACATCGGCAAAATTTTTTTACCCGGCATATTATGACATAATTTTAATGAAAAAATTTCAGAAGAATGTTGAAATATGTAACAATAAATCATGAAAGTTTTGTTTCAATTAAATATTTATTTCCTTCCCTAAAAAATCGTTATAAAAAGCTATTTTTTGAAGCCTCTACAGCAGGCTCCCCCCTTAAAAAAGTACAAAATTTTCAAAAAAAAATTACAATATAAAAAAATAACTTTCAAGTCAATTTTTTTCAAAAATCTTATTGTTTCTAAGTTTTCAAAAAATGTTAAAGCAAAAAAATTTAATTTTCTGTACGGTAAGTTTTAGCAATTTCAAATAGTTTCTGATGTATTTTATTATTGTTCTAGTTGATATTTCCGATTTTTTCATTATAGCTGATCATTTTGTTATTAGGCTGCATGTTATGAAGTTTGTTTTGTTCAGACGAGTTTGTACGGATACAAATGTTGATAAGATTTTATTTATTGTAAAAAAAAGATGAAGGGCATATTGAAAACGAATTATTATTGTGAAAAAGTATAGCTTTCTTCCAAGTGTATGGAACACTAAAGAATGTAACATACAAATATTTTTATATTTTACATTTTAACATTGATATTATTTATAATTATTCCATTAGCAAAATTTTATTTGCCTGGGAAAAACGGATACAGAAAAATGATCTAACTAGCGCTTAAAATTTTAACACATTTATTTTGAAAATTTTAAAAACATTTGAAAAAATTTAAATATTGAAAAAAAAATTTTTGCGTATCATGATTTTTTTGAAAAACTCAAATGTTTGAAAACTAATTAAAAAAAATGAAATTTTTTGAAGTTTTTGGTATTTTGATAAGATTCATGTCGGTTGATCCATTTTGTTAGAAAATATCTGATTTTCGACCGCCAAATGGCATTTTAATTTTGTTTTCTGAATCTCCGAAACCGCTGGTCGACATGCCTTTGCAAAAATTCAATCAATTCTCCATTACGCCAATACAAGTGTGATGTTTTTTTTTTAAATAATTCTAATTGTTGCTCCGTTCACTCAAAAACTTAATTTTTATTTTCTGGTCTCTGCTTCGTATCCCCGAATCGGCTGGACCTGCCTTTGCCAAAAACTAATCAGCACGTCTCCCTATCAATAGGAATAAAATGCTCTTTAAATAATTCGAATTGTTGTTCCGTTCTCTCAAAAACTTAATTTTCATTTTCTGCACTCTGCTTTGATCCCCGAATCGGTTGGACCTACCTTTGCCAAAAACTTATTAGCGCGTCTCCCTATCAATAGGAATAAAATGCTTTTTGAATAATTCAAATCTGTTAATCCGTGCTCCCGAAATATTTTCATTTTCAATTTTTTTTAATGATTACTATAACTTAACCTTCGGTAGGTTGAAAATATTCATTTTAAATGCAGCTCTGTTCCATACAATTTTACTTGTACTACCATTAGATTGTATCGCCCTTAGGAGATAGATACTATCTCCTAGAATAATGTTTATGGTACGTACGTCATGTTCATTCTATAAATATTAAATTTATTTGCGCTACGTAGTCCGGGGTATATAATTAGTATAGTTGCATGTATAGTTCGCTCTTAACCTTCAACCGGGGCACGTTGTTCATGCATTACAAATCGAGCGGCATAATTTAATAATTTAGGATTACGTGTCAAACATCATTGAAATTTTTATTATACGGATATTTCATGTTTTGCCGAATTAGTAGATTAGAAACAGGTATAATAGAACTATAATGAATGTTATGTGTAAATATTTTACTTTTTAACCTTCCGTAACATGAGCGCGGACTCTATATCCGCATGAAGAACAAATTCTGCAGACATTTCTAATGCATCAAACATCCCAAATATTGCTTTTTTACATGCTCAAATTGTTTTAATAATGATGTAGATCAAATATCGATAGTCTAATAATCAATTTTATAAATTATCTACAAATGAGACCTTATTATTTAAAAATTTGAAACTTTTTCGGTCAAAAATTCACGCGTTTAGCGGAAAGTTAAATGTAGTAAGTAAGAACGAGACATGTAATTTTTACCTTAAGGGACACAACTAGTGTGAAATTTTCAAAAAATCGAATTTTCTATTTTTTCATATTTCGATAGGTTATACCTTTGAAAATAACATACCGAAATTTTAAATTGATATCTTAAATAGTTTTTGAGTTAGTCATTTAAAAAGTAAATATATCTAGTATAAAGTATAATGATCGTTTTATATTTAAACGCGTTTTTCTCGAAAAAGCATTTTTCGAATTTGCCGCAGCGATTACTCGAAAACAAATGATCCGATCACTATCAATTTTTTTTTACATGTTCTAAATATAATTCTCTATAAATAATTATATATAAATTTTACTATGTATTCTTAAAACATGTATAAATATTCCTAAAAATTTGAAATGATTGATAAAGTATTTTTTTTTTAATATAAATTTCCAAAAATCACCTTTTTTTTAGGCGGTTACACTAGTTGTGTCCCTTAAATGTTACAATTTATTTCGTTCAAAATAAAGTGAATTATACATGTAAAAGGAACGTAATTCAGTTCTATTCTATAGTTTCTCAATATATGGAATAACCAGGGCCGCATCTAGATTTATGGCTTCCGAGGGCATTGACGAAAATGCCTCCATATCAATGGAATTTTCTTATATTTTTCTCATTTCTTGTAAAAACTATTTGATTGCAGAAAATTTATTACATACTAAGTACTATAATATTAGAAATATTCGTATTTGTTATAAACATTATTTTTTTGCGTATATTTATTGCCGATCAAAATATAATTATTTTAAGACAATATGCTGGTTGTAAATGAGTAAGAATTATGAAATAACTTTAAAATTATTTTTTAAAGTTAAACAGTTACAGGATAATTCTCCAATTTTAAACAAAGAAATTGATCAATTGTTTTTCAAGTTTCATAAAAAAGGCATGACAAATTTTAAAATATGTGACCCCAGAAAATTAATTTTTAATTGCAGGAAATTCAAGAATCCAGTATTCTTTTTAAATTCTCATGGAAATAAACTGATTTTGATAGTTCTAAATTTAAACTTAAATTTTTAAAATTACAATATAAAAAATGTTAATCTATTTTTTTAATATATAATGCATAAATTTTATTGCTTTTGTGTTAATTAATTAATTATCCAGTAATTTGTCGCCTTGGGCACTTAGCCTCGACTGCTCTTACTGTAAATCAACCACTGGGATTAACTATATACTTTTGTGCAATCAGGATATAATTTGTAATTTGTCATTTAAATTAGTTTTCACGATCATTTGCTAGATTTGAAAGATCGACCTAATTTGTAAAAATTCAAAAAATATCACAAAGCCGAAAAAGTCGCATGTTTGTCATATTCCGTATTAAACATAACTTCCACTAATGTTTCGTGGAGATATCAATCAGCTTTTATGCTTATTGTTAGTATCTTGAACAAACATTGACTATCTACTTCACATTAAATATTAATGCTTTTTGTATGTAAAATAAAGGAATGTTTCGGTGTGTTATTGATCATAATCAATGATTTTGATATTAAGAATATTTTTATGATTTATGGACATACCGATAATGGAAGGGTATCATGAATTGCTTGCGGTTGTGGGCGGGTGTGTTATGATAGTAGAAACCCGGTTGAAAGTTACAAGGTTTTCTGCTGATTCGTATTTAATAACTAGCTTAAGTTTTATCGATCAAGATTTAAGGTATTCTCACTTTGGAATATAAATTAGTTAGAAAACAATTAAGGTTTAACATCTTTTGAGATGAATACGAGTATATCGTATGCGATAATACGAACCTGTACTGTGTAATGTACATGCAGGTTTGGCAATTTATCTTACACGGCTAAATAAGTTACATTTCAAAACTAGCATGTACTTAATACGTTACAATTCTGTCCCTTAAAATTAAAAAAGACATCATTTATTATTTTCTTTATACAAATGTTATGGAATTCAACCAATTTTTTGTACTACTATACAATATTCTTATAATATCTTTTTAGTATAGTCCAGTCATTTGAGCTTAAATTAAGAATCACGGAATTCGAGATATCTAGCTGTAAGTCTGTAAATACTATATATTGACACCCTAAAAGTTGTCTCAAAACCTACATATGGTACGTACACCTTACCATATGTAGATTTAGAGACAACTTTTAGGGTGTCAATATACAGTATTTACTAACTTACATCTTAGCATCTCGAATTCCGAGGTGAACTATAATGACTGGACTATTACCCTTATTGGCTTATAAAAATAAATTTCAGCGTGATTTCAAGCGGTTCGACGGTTCTACAAACGACTTCGTTCCACCTTAAAATTTTGCATCTTTAAAATTATCTCAGATTTAAAAATTTGTACATCTTACCGTTTGTTAAGTACTCGAGGCTTTCTTTGTCCCAATGTATGTGCTCCCAATGATCAGTCATTATAGCCGCGCATAGCAAGGCGGTGCCAATTGCAGTCATAGCCAAGGTCCCTGTACAAAATAGAATAAAGTTTTGTTTAGGGTGAAACTTATATTATACTTCATTAGTTTTTGCTTAAAAAATTAAAGGCGTTACTAAGAGGGTTTGCTCGTGAAGTGACTTAACCGAACGCAGGACATGAAACCTAAGACCGTCTTTGAATACAAACCCTTTCGAAAATAATCATTTGTATGTTTTCATACTTTTAAATTTGTTCCTCGATATTATTTTTAAAAAAATAATGAGTTAACTCGTATTGCATGTAAATTGACCCAAGTGGTTTCCAAACTTTTTTGCTCCGCGTCCCCCCCTTAATTTTTTCAACAATTTTATTTTATACTCAACTGATATTATCAGAATACAAATTAATATGCAATATTATGTAAAAACATGAATAAAAACTAATTTGTTGTTCATTTTTTATCATTTCAAAAATGTTGTTTTATTTCCGAAAATAGTATTCTGGAAAGAGATCTACGTGTCCCCCTTAGAACAGGCCGGCGCCTCCCGAGGGGTCGCGCCTCGCCACAGGTTAGATACCGCTGAATTAACCCTTTTGCTACGATTGTCGTCTATGGAGGACATCCGCGTGGCGACCTGTGTATTATTGTCGCCAATAGATGACAATAGAAGTGTATATTTGAAATTTTTAAATATATTTTTATCCATAATAATTAGAAAGTTTTAGTATTTGTAACAAATACTTTAGCGTCTATTGGCTCGTACAGCAGCGTCACTCCTGCAGGAAACTATTTCGTAGCAAAAGGATTAAAATCTGATTTTTTTAGATATTGCTATTTCGGAGTTCTTCACCAGAAGACATTTAGGGACCGATTCTGCCGCATAATAGAAAAATGTTATGACAAAGTTATGATATGAAAAACTTTTCATACAAAATATTGAAAAGGCCATGTGGTTGGTATGCAGTCAGGCGTATTTCTCAGGTTTTCAGATAGAAAACATAACCTAAAAACTACACAAATGTAAAAAAAGCGATGTTAGATAACAGGGCGTTTTGATTCCGCTTTATAACATACGAGTGACGTTGCAGTTTGGGTAAAACGCCGGAATGAACAGCAAATACATATCATTTTGGCAGTACTCAGTATGATTCAGTAGCATAATGTATGGAAGTTGGAGCGTAGCATGGCCTTGCCATATTTCGCTGTTATGCTGCAGAATCGGTTACTTAATACAGTTTTAGAAGCGAACGTAAAAACTTGTATAAGGAATACCTCTAAAATAATTGCTGTATTATGCCAGAAATCTTACACGCTTTAGTTTGAACATTTTCTCTCTATTAAGTGTCTCTATTACGAGATTCATTTAAATTAAGCCCTAGAGATTCGATTATTCTTTTACCGAGTAAAAACATGGCCGGCGGTTGAGCGGATGGACAGCAGCCATTTCTCCGTTGCTCGTCCGGCTGCTGTTGGGTCTGCTGTTGCTGGTGTTGCTGGGACATGATGTTGACCTGCTGCTGATGCAGTGGATTCTGTTCAGCCAGTGGCGTGCGCAAGTCGAAATCGTCCTCTGGGGACGCTAGGACTCTGTGCTTGCCATTGCTATGACTGAAATAAAAAATTGATAAGGATAAATGGATAAGCATTCGATTGGTTGAAATGCATTGATACGATGAATTGATAAGCGTTGATAATTTGGAAGTCATTAAACAGAAATTAAAATTTGTTTTTTTGAGACTTTGTAACTCGTTCGTTGCAGGAAAATTTGGTTTGCGCGGTATGTCACAGTATGGATGGAAATGTTTGATATTGCTTTCATTTTGTACTTCCTTAATTTATTTTTGTCATGAAGCTTATTTATATTTACTTTATGTATTATAACAATATTGGTATTAATTTGCATCAATCAAGCTACTTTCATTAGTATCACAACATGAAAATCAAGTGGATATTATGTAAATTCACATTCATATCCTAGCTAAACGATTAACACCTTTATCTCCACGATAATATAAGAAAAATTTTCATATGAGTTATGGTATCTTTATTAGTTACACATTACTTTCGATTAGGGGGCGTCTATTAATCACGTGATCAGTTTTTAGGGATTTTTGAACCCCCCCTCCCCCTTGGTGATACGTAGTGATATTTAAAATTACCCCTTTTTCCACCAAATATTTCGTGTAAGTTTAGTTACGAGAAAAAATTGTAAAGTTTTTGTATTTTTTGAAAATGTTTAATTTTTTTTCAATTCAGGTTAACAATAAATACACGTGATATCTTACTATACCCCTCCCTCCCCTACATGATACTTTGTGATTTTTTGTCAAACTTTGCTGCCACTAGAAACCTCACGTGATTAATGAATGCCCCCTTATGTGGTATGTTATATCTTAACTTTTATATAGTATATGTTTATATGTCGTATCTTAACTTTATTATTGGATCTGTTTTTTTTTTTGGCTTTTAAGCTTTGTATAAAATTCTGTTCATTTTTTTCCATATTAACTTATTTATATATTATTAGTAAAAATTAGCACTTGTGTCTGTTAGTTAAAAAGTTCTATTTTTCAATTTTTGTAAAATTGAAAATAAGTTTGAAATTATCAATGCGAGGAGCTATTTTAAACGGCCTTCGTAATTTTGAAACAGCATACTCGTTGTTTATAATTTTCATTTATTTATTTTTGACGAGTAGTTGTAATTTTATTAAGCAATTCTGAAGATCCCAAAACCCGGGATAAAAAATCCAAATCCGTGATAAATATTTCTTTTAGAAAAACCCGGGACACAAGGTGGAAATCCGGGACTGTTCTGGTCAAACCGGGATCATATAGTCACCTTGCTAATAAAGACCTATTTTCAAACTTTTCTTCACGATATATTGTATCGTGACAGACATATGTCTTACATGGCTCATGTAGAACTTTTTAGCGTCAGACTCATCTAACCGACATGGTTATGAAAGTTTAGGTTTAGTATCAAACTTAGAGTTCGTTACCAGTAAACTGGTAAACTCCTACATCCCTACCAAGATAAGTGATTGCAATGCACGATTGCTTATACAATGCATTTTGAAAAAAATAAATTTACAAATTAAATTATCTCACCGATCATAAGTAGTCTCCCATTGTAATTTCTGCTTGTCCGTTGAGCATTTCGTCGTGACGCCACCGCCAATCCAGACTACGGAAGTCGTACAAACCTCGAAAGCGCGGGCAACTTGCTTCTCGAATCACTTCCTACACAAATTTATAAAAAACATGTAATAATTTTCACACACATTTAAGTTACATTATTTTTATGAACGCTAGAATTGTCTCAGATAAACTTAGTTAAGCATTTCAGATTTTATTCGAATAATTTGTATCCCAAGACATTGGAGTAACTATCATGTATCCAACTCGTTTTGTAATAGACCAATTGCTTTGCTGCACTTAAATTATGCATGTAATAGTATTCAAGGTATCGCCACTATACATGTGAAATTAATTCAGTTGCAATTTTAATCACTTTGGTTCGATTTTACCGAATTTTTTATCCAATACAATACAAATCAGGTTTTTATTTAAATCATTGAAATATAGATAAAAAATAACACTAATCTCGATAAAAGTCTGATGAATTTTTATATTTATATCTCTATTTATATTTTATATCTTTAACAATTATTTTGAGTGTAAGTCAACGGGTGGTTTATGATGCAACTTTTAACTTACCAAGTACAACTTTCTTGTTTATTTTAACTATCAATATTTATTATATATTGAGCGAATTTCACTGTTGCAACAAAGCACTTCCGATATTTAACTCTAAATTTTGAAAACTGACAATTTTCGAAAACACTACTTAATCAATCTCAATACCTCAAAAAAATGCACTGTGTCGTCGTCGTACGTTGTATAGTACCACGCGTAATTGCAGTATTGTACTGAACTCTTCTCTAGAAGGCGTCGACTCCATATACCAGTCCGATATTGATTTTGTTTGTTGGAATAAGTACTGCTATCGTACCGGCGCATAACTATTCCGCTTGTTTAATGCAATGTTCATGTTTTTTTGCTATCGTATTTATTAATTATTCGGAAATGGTGGCAGGCCTAATAAAAACAAATTACCCATCTTCTTTCAGTTTCTCCCTTTCATTTATGGAAAATTGATTTGAAGTCTACAATTGTCGATTTCAATGTAATGATATACCTGGACTTCTTTGTAAGCATATTATACGAAGAATCTCCCTCGCTAATTTAATTAAAACGAGCATATCTTTATAAGCATATCAAGGTTATTAAATTACATGCTCACAAAGTTGTAGTGTTCTGTAATTGTAAATAGATTTTCATATTAAGGGGCCAATTTTGCGATAACATAACGTTATAGCAACGCTATCTTACCCATTCAAAATGTTACCTATTTGCTGTACGATCAGGCGTTTTACACATTTTTTTTTTTTAATTTCAATAATTATTACAACTGCTAATTTATTAACATCAAGTAATATTGATAAATAATAATATAAATTTAAATAAATAAAAGAGCAAAGGATAAAATTTACATAAAAATAATATCCGTAATATGATTTAATGTGAAATATAAGCAAATAATAATAAAAATAAGATTAATAAATAATATAAATAAAATTTCAGAAAAATAATAAAATATAACAAAATAACAATAGAAATAGTTTTTTTTTTTTTTTTTTTTTTTTTGTTACAATTTATTTTTGTTAATCAAGACTTTAATGTCTTATTTACAAAATTGATATGAGCAAAAAAAAAATACAAAAAACACAAAATGCAATACATTGAATATAAAATGAAAACAGTTGAAATGAAAATTAAATTAAAACAGTAATACAAAAATAACATAAATGAACGATGACGTGATGATGTATGCCGCGTACTACGTCAGGACGCGTGCAGACATTGGGCTAGGAGTTTGGTAGATCGGAAGGCCATTTCTTGCTCAATCTTCTTATCGGTCTCTGAATCGCTTGAATTGTAGGATTTGTATGCTGGATTAATTTGTTGTTAAAAGATGAACTTCTAATCTTGATCATTTCGTTGACCGTTGAGATTTTCAAATCCTTATGTAGGCAAAAATTCGAAATATACCAAGGCGCATTAGTAAGGATACGCAGAATTTTATTCTGGCACCTTTGAATGATGTTTATGTTAGATTTGCATGAGCAACCCCATAGTTCGATTCCATAAGTCCAAATGGGCACTATGATAGTTTTATACAAAAGTACCTTGTTATCGAGAGAGATTTCAGATTTCCTCAATAGAAATAGTAAGATAATATTAATAATAATAATAATAATAATAATAATAATAATAATAGTAATAATAATAGTAATAATAATAATAATAATAATAATAATAATAACAATAATAATAATAATAATAATAATTTACAAATTTATAAGATCTACACATAAAACTGTATGTTATAAACGCGCATCACAAAGATGCAGTTATTACATTCTTTATATGTTTGATTATATGTAAAATACCTAAATAGTAAATAGATAGAATCTGTTTTTAGTACTAAGAAAAAATAAGATAGCTTTTCCATCTGATCTCTTTTTTCTACTATTTGTGGTAATTCTTCAAAATATATTTGATATATATTTTCCATTTTCACAAGTCCTATAAATATTTAGTCAATGTACGCTACTTAAGCATTGCCTTATACATTAGGGTGGTCCTTAATATGGTCATTTTCGAATATCCTTGCTCCCAAGGGCACGAATGGTTCCAAATTGATAAACAATTCTCTGAAAGTTTTAGCTCTTAATATTAACTTTTAGATAGTGCGCAAATCAATCAAACTTCGTATGGAAATAGCATGGAAAAAATTTTGAAAATTAAAAAAAAATTTAGGTATAAATTAGCGACAAATTTTGAAAAATTTTTCATACTATTTCCACACAAAACTTTGAATTGCGCACTATCCAAAAAACAATATTAAGAGCTAAAACTTTGAGAAAATTGTTTATCAATTTGGAACCATTTAAGCTCTTAAAAGCAAGGAAATTCGAAAATGTCCATATTAAGAACCACACTATAATACATGTATCGTTCTCAAATAAGCATTAGTTAAAACTTTATTCTATTAAATCTAACTTTTATATCCAAAGGGCTGATGAATTACATTTCCTAAAAATGATTCGTAACAGAATTGCTATATTAATTCTACCTTTCATTTTCTTTTTGGACGTAACGGTTAAAAGACTAATCATGTGCAATCAGACATTTCGTGACACCGAATCATTCTGTTTTTAAATAAAATTAAAGGCATATAAAAAGACGAGGTAATTGGGAATAGAAATTGCTCTTCGCATGGAATTTTTAACCTTTGTATATTAGTCCAGTCATTATAGTAAGTTCACCTCAGAATTAGAGATACCCAGCTGTAAGTCTGTAAATACTTGGATATTGACATCCTAAAGTTGTCTCAAAACCCTACATGTGGTATTGACACCCTACCATAGGTAAGTTTTGAGACAACTTTAGGGTGTCAATATACAAGTAATTACTTACAGCTGGGTATCTCGAATTCCGAGATTCTTACTTAATTTAAGCTTAAATGATTGGAATATATATTCTTTAATTGATACGGCGTACCGTTCAAGTGCGTTACATTTCGGATTTGAAATAAGACACCAATGTATTATGAATAAAATTATCTAAATTCTACGTTACGTAGTCTTTAGTCAATTAATATTAACTGGCATTTTATAAATTATTTTTCAGGGCTACTTACACTCTAAATACTTTACTAATTTTAGTACTGTCGTAAAAAATAATTTTGCTTTTCATAAGTTTCTTAAAAATATCGCGATAAAATAGCGCAATTGACTTAATACTTCCAAATCTACACAATAATCTTTCAAAAATCTTACTGAAGTCGCATCTTATATTCTATGCATTATTATTTATTATTGGTGTTTTTCCAAACCACAAATTTGCAGTGTATGAACATCACATTTAATTTACCCCTCTTAAGTTTTTTTTTAAACTTTTGCTTCCATGATTCCATAATCTGAGCCTCAGCTTTCCATTTTCTGATTTGTTATATGTAAAATACGCCTGATAGCACAGCAAATAGATAGCATAGCGTTGTCATAACAACGGTATGTTATCTACCATATTACCGCAGAATAGGCCTCTAGATTGTTTTGTTACTTTCGAACTTCAGCGTGATATCTAGGAACTAATGGGATGCTATATTTTAATTATAGCTTTTAGTAAAGCAGGTTTCCTTCGCTATGTTATCCTCGAGGTTCATCAAATGCTTTTTATATTTATTTCATCTATTAGCATCTGCATAATTCTCTCCCACTTTTTGTCATTATACATATTTGTGTACGCATATCGTTTCGCGCACGATTGCAATTGTTGTGTTTATATGCCAAAAATTGGCACTATTCACAACTAGGTAAGGATACATCTACACAATGACCTACATGAAGCAGTATTTACATGAATATTTTACACATCTGTTTTCGGTCTTTGTTGCAGTATCATGATTGTCGGATTTTAGGTTATAAAATAACGTTCAAAGAAATCTCGACCCTATTCCAATGTAATTAACTTCAGCTTTCCGATCTTTTTTTTTTATCTTAACTTTTGTTTTATAAAAATAGACAATCGGACATGTTTTTATCAAAAAAAATTCTTAAAATTATTGTTTAATATAAGTTTCATTATTATATTTTTCAGGAAATGGCAGAAAGTAGGGATCCCACTGTTTTAGTGGCTGAGGCCATGGGCAGAGGAAAAAAAAATTTAGTAACCGAAAATTACTCTGAAGCTGCTGAAGAGTTCTCTTCAGTATGTGAAATGTTGTCTGAATTACATGGACCCAGTGGCGATCAACTCGCTGAAGCTTATTTTCTGTAACTATTCATTCAACTTTAATTGATTTATAATCTGAATTGATATTAAAATAGTCTATTTCTTTTAGATATGGAAAGGCTTTGCTAGGCTGTGCCCGCGAAGAAGCAAAGTTGTTAGATATAACTGAAACTGCACCAACTGAAGATAGTGAAAGTGAAGTAGAATCGAAAGCTGGTGAGTTCATTTGCTGTCAAATTTCTGTTTCAGGGTCACGTTTTAAGCTTGTTTTCTGAGGCTATAGTGGCAACATCCAAATTGCTTGTATTAAGTCTTAATAATGAGCATGTGAACATTGAATATAAAAATTTACTTGAAAAAAGTGTATTGAATATGACATAATAAAAATATATGACATATAATAATAATACAAAAGAAAAAATACATCAATAAAATATAACAAAACAAAATACTTCATACAAATATTTTTGAAAGTAGTCAATCAACTCATAAGTAGTAACTTGATTAGAAAATAATATAAAAGTAATGTGTAAAATTATGTATGCATATAAAATATACATTTTAATTATTAATCTAAATTAATTTAAATACTACATATGCAAATTCTGTATAAAAATTAACCAATTTACTAAACCTATTTTTTAGATGTGAAGAAAAATGATGAAAGTGTTGTATCATCGTCAACTGATGAGAAGGATGTACCTAGTTCAAATTCATCTGATGAAAAAGGAAGTAATACTCTGGAAACCGTTCCTGAATCGGCAGAGAAATCTGAAAGTACTGAAACAACTGAAAATCCTTCTGAAATGAAATCAGAAGATGAAAATGTAGAGGTACTATCAATTTAAATTGCTTTATGTATAATCATATGTAAATATACATTAAAAGTGTTTCTGCTTAATTTTTCTTATATTGTTAAGTAAATTATTTAATGAAATACTTAAAAAGATTTTATGCTTTCTTGGATTCACTTAATTCAGTTTGTACCATTAGAAACTAAATTTTCACAATTTAGGAAAATGCTACGAATGATGATGATGATGATGAGGAAAGTGAGGGTGATGTTGCAACCTTACAGTTGGCCTGGGAAGTGCTTGAGATCTCTAGTCAAATTCTTTCCAAAAAGGAAGATAATGATTCAAAACTTTTATTAGCGGAAGTTTTCTCAGAACTAGGAGAGGTTTCACTGGAGAGTAGTAATTTTGAAACTGCTTCAAAAGATTTTGGTTAGTGTATATTATTTAATAATTTTAAATCAATTCAATTTACAAACAATAGTATTCTGTGACTTTTGACACTCACTGAGTGTATTTGTGATTTTCTTATATTGCCTTGCTTCAAGCATGATCATTTTACATTTTAGAGCGAAGCTTAGAAATTTATGAAAAACTAGAAAAACCTATGCCACGAGAAATAGCAGAAGCTCATTTCAAGATCGGCTTAAGTCACGCACTGATGAATTTATTCGAAGAAGCTGTTCAGGACTTTACAAAAGCTGTAGAGATCTTAGATCAATTGATAAAAGATACACCACAAGAAGACAATACGCTTATTAAAGAATTAAATCAAACTAAGGAAGAAATTTTACTAAAAATTACAGATGTTAAAGAATCGAAAGAACAGGTAAAATTACTATTATTTTGAAAAGATATTATATAAAATAAAACATTGATAATTGTATTAATTGTTCTATTAAATTTATTAACAAACTTCATTTTACGCAGTATTGAACTTAATTTCTTTTTTTAATAGTCCATTGAAGCTATCAGAGACCAATTAAATAAGGTTTGGCCAAAAACCAGTTCACTGGGTTCTGCAACAACAAACGGTGCTGGATCATCATCTGCTGTAAATGGCACTGCTTCAGATCTTCTCACCTCACCTTCTAATAAACCAGCTGTTGATATCTCTCACCTTGTTAAACGCAAGCGAAAAACAGATCAGGAGGAAGAGGCCTCATGCCCTAAAAAACCCACACCCTAACTTAATTACTATTTACAAATAATTTTGTACTTTGATTAAATTATCAGTAAACTACATTTGTAATTTAGATTAAGAAATTTTGTCATTCAACTCCACAACAAATGAGCATATGAAAGGTGTACAATTTTAGTATAATAGTCTTAAATTTTTAATGATTATAAACCATCAGCTTCAATATTGTTAACCATACAACAAATGTAAAAATGTAGAAGCATAATTAACCTGCGTAATAAAAAAAAATCTGTAAAAATTTATTTGTTAATTGTTGATGAATTACTGTTGGTGCTGCTATAAGTTTTGTTCTATGTATAATATATAGTTTTTAGAGTGTTAAGTAATTTATTGTACTTCATTTACATATTTACATATTTACATTTAGGTTTTGCGCTTTTTTGTACATGTATTTATTAATAATAAATTCATTATTTTTACAAGGTTCCATTCCTTTGGTTAGTTAGATAGATGTCCCACTAAATCCTTACATAAGTCCAACTTCTTCTTCCTCCAAATGATCCTGACTAAATTAAACTGCATATCTGAAAATAAATTACAAATTTTATTGATGTTCATATAACATCATAATGTTCTGTCTTACAAAGAAGTATAGTGGCAGCAACGGATAAAAGAACACCATGTAAAACACTTAATCTCATAATCTTAGCGCATGTTAGGTATAGTCCTGGAACTTCTTTAAAAATCATTCCCGAAAGTGTCCATAATATCCATGGTATTATACAGTATACGTTGTTCGTTCCCTGGTAAACAATTTAACATTATCTCAATTCTCACAATTCAATTATTAATTTTATATTTAATATGTAATTTTTATAGTTGCAACTACAAATTGTTTATGATGATTGTGTTAATTTGATACATCAGTTTTATTCTCAATTGGTGCAGATGTTAATATTTGCAAATCAATATGTAATAAATAATAAAATATTTACCGAGTATTGTGCATATGCTAGAAGTCCTGTTACTACAGCAGAACCATACAGCTCAAAAATATTGAATCGGAATTTCATACCTAAGGATTTCCATCACATTAGCATATAATTTTTCTTAAATCATTCATGTGTTAATTAAAGATAAATAAATAAATGTTTTTTCTATATCCATTTCCATTAAAATCATAATTTATTACATAGCATAATTCACACTTTTTGTATGTAGTTTTTAAGGTATGAAATGCAAAACAAGCATCCAAATTATCAAATCATGCAGACGTTATTTTAGATAGTTACGTTAAGGGGGTATTCTGTTCTAGAATTTAAAAAAAAAAACAGGCAAGAGCATGGTCAAATAGCTATATCTCCGAAAATAATTTAAAATTTAAAGAATTCTCTCATGCAGATAATCTTGAACCGTTAAACTTCGAAAATTTGAAAAAAAAAAAACAAAAAACACGTTTTTTTAATTCCTACACTAAGAATACCCCCTTAAATTGTAGTAATTATTAAATGTGATGTGCACATTTTGGCTTAAATTTTATTCACCTGCAATCCTTTCGGTGTGTTCCAGGACCCCAGATATAACAGTTGATGCCTCCACGTAACAATTGGACAACATTGCGGCCACCAAACAAGCAAACATCATCATTGGCACTACCAGTGGCAATACTAACCAATAGGGTCGTTGTAGCATAATATACCGTTGATTTAAATCGGATAATAAATAACGTGTTTGATCTTTGTACGTTGGATAGTACATGTAACCTCTATTAGCGTTTTCCATTTTGTTAATTTTTTTTATAAGGAAATTTTGAAAAAAATTTAAACTTTTAATTTTGCATTATGTTTTTTTATCAAAACAAAGTTTGATTGTGTGATTTTTAAACAAAAAAACAGCTATAGTGATATATTTTTTTTTTGATATATAAATTTTTGTTTAATTTTTTCACAGCACATGTGATTTTTACGACAGTTGTTTTCAATTTATAAAATGTAGTGCTCATCGTGCTAATAAATATCAAGCAGAATATTAGTTTTATTTACTGCAGGGCAGTTGATATCTCTCATGGAATGAGATTGTATAAAGAATTGTATATTAACAAGCATCTTCATGAATGATGTTTCGGGGGTAATAAGATTTATCGTATGATGATTTTATGTTTTCTTGACGTTTCAAGCCATTCTGAATCGAATGAGACCAAAAAAAGTATGTGTGTGTGTGTGAACCGATTTTTTGCCGTAAATCGACGTTTTTTCAAAAACGGCTTGGACGATTTCAAAATTTTAAAAGCTATTCGATGTATCTTGATGAGGACTAGCGTTTATCAAACTTGCGCGACTATCAGCCAAGCCGTTTCTTTGTATATTGCAATAAAAGTGAAAAAAAAAATGCGTCCACGTTTCAGCCCGCAATTCTAATACTTTTAATCACTAAAAAATCAAATTAGTTTTTATTAACTTCCCGTAGGGCAAGTTATAGTAATCGCAAAAAAATCGAAAATGAAATTTTTTGCATTTCTCGACGTTTCAAAGGTTTCTGAATATTTTGGCATACCTTAGAAAAAATGGATGTATGTGTGTGTGTGTGTGTATGTGTGGGTGTGTGTGTGCGTGTGTGTATGTATGTGCGGATACAAATTTTCGTCGACGATTTCGGGAACACCGATCAACCGATTTGAATAATTCGAAAAACATTCGATTTGTATTGATAAGGAAACGTGCTGATTAGTTTTTGGCGAAGGCAGGTCTAGCCGTTCCGAAGATACGGGGCAAAAAGTGCCGAAAACGGTAACTCAGTTTTTAAGAGAACGGAGCGTCCGATTTTGATAATTCAAAAAACATTTTACTTGTATTGACAAGGTGAAGAATCGATCAAACTTTCATAAAGGCAGGTCTAGCGGTTTCGGAGATCTAATGAAAAAAGTAAAAAAAAAATGTCATTTGGCGGTCAAAAATGATCATTAGACATATGCACATCAAATTATCAGATATTTTATAGAGATTTTAACAATAAGTATAAATTTGGTTTACAATCTTATGGGTTCCGTACCAATGTTTACGCGTTAGACGGCGACGCGGCGCTTACGCGCTTTGATATTCCTTCTTTATGCAGTTAAAGCAGTACGATTGTTTTGAAAAAAAGTTTAGATCTTGCAAAATATGTCAAAATAAAGAAAACATTCTTTTTTCAAAAAAAAAATTAAAAAAAAATTTTTTTTTTTTTAATTTTTTTTTTCAAAAAAAAGCAATTTTTTGTCCAATTTATAGTTTCTCACAAATCTTATTTTTTCGAAGTAAATTTTTTTTAAAAATGTTAATCGTTTTTAAAAAAATAATTTTTGGTACGGGAAGTTCCAGCAATTTGCCTTAAGGCACGATGCCTTAATTGCCTTAAGACAGAATTCCACTTACAGCTAATTGATTAGTTCGATTATTTACAGATAACGAGAAATGCATGTAACTTGTTTATCTATGCATGTAACTTTTTAAATTAGTTCTACTCATGTGTGATAGATGTCGCATGCAAATTTTTGCATGTAAGACAAAAGCGTACTTCACTCTACACTTGTCTGAAAAGTAAAGGAGCCACTAAATTCTGATACATGACAGATGGGTTTTGACGTTTAAAAAGCACCTACGCTCTGAAGTTGGCTCCGGGATAGAGCATAACCTGTCATTTCGTGGAATATTTAGTCCCGCGTTCTTTTCTCATTTTTGTCGCGTCGCGTCGGTTTCGTTTCAAGTAAGCGTTTTATTATATTTTCTGCTTTTTCTTTTCGTGTAATTAGAATTCTTTCGTTCTGTTGCTATTTCTAATTCTATTATTTTTTTTATTTGTTTATAACAGTTTTTTTCACATATTTCGGTTCGGTTTTTCGTTTTTTTGCTCTGGATCGCTTTCCTTGCGTTGCTTTTTTTGCTCTAGTAAGCCTCTTATTATAATTCATGCTTATTTTTCATATTTCATAGTTACAATAAGTGTTTTTTAGGATTTTTTACTTTTTAGTTTAGTTACGTGTTTTTTTAGATTTTTACTTAGCTTGCGTAAGTTTATTTTTCGTTTCATATTTTTACTATTTAGATACTTACTTTTATTTCACTTCAGGTTACATTCTATTTTATAAGCTTATTTTTAGATTTTGTTCATTTACATTAGGTTACATTCTATTTTATAAGCTTATTTTTAGATTTTGCTCATTTAAGTTTATATTTAGTTTAGAATTAATATCATTTAGATACTCACTTTATATATTTACTTTTTCGCTTCTAATTTTCTTTACATTTATTACGATACGTTTTATTACCTTCATTACTTTTATTTTATATTTCACTTTATTACTTTACTTATGTGACAACATGGACAGCGACTTTTTCTGTACCGAGTGTCAGATTCCATTCACTGCTCGTAGCTCCTTGTATCGCCACATGAGACAAAAACATGACAAAGAGCCAAGAGCTGTTTATCCCAATGCGTGTGCTTTCTGCCTTAAAACTTTTAAATTTAAATATTTATTAACTCATCATGTGAGCCAAGTTCATAATAATATCCCTAACCCTTCACTTGCCCAATCTTCTTTGGTATCTTTTGAAGACATTACACACCTTTCCTCCTCCACTAAAACAAATATAAAGCATCCTTCTTTACCCACCTCATATACTACTACATGTTTGACATCACCTTACAATTTACTTTCACCCACATCAGATCCTCTTCACAAACATCCCCACGTAAGTTTATCGCCGCATCCTTGCACTTCCTCTATTAAAGTTCAAATTCACACGCCTCCCACTCCCAGTTCCCCAATCAGTTCTAAGGAAAATTTTACAGGTATGTAGTGCTTTTATATATGTACATTCATTTTATTTATTATTGTGTTACATATAAATCATTTTTGTAGGTACACCATCAACAAAAGAGAAACTAAGATGTCCACTTTCTGCTTGCTCATCTTTTATCTCTGCTCCTTCCATATCAGATCGTCTTCACAAACATTTCCACGTAAGTTTATCGCCACATCCTTGTACTTCCTCTACTAAAGTTCAAATTCACACGCCTCCCATTCCCAGTTCCCCAATCAGTACTAAGGAAAATTTTATAGGTATGTAGTGCTTTTATATATGTACATTCATCTTATTTATTATTGTGTTACATATAAATCATTTTTGTAGGTACACCATCAAGGAAATCCAGAATAAGATGTCCACTCCCTCCCTGCTCCTCTGTTTTTTCTAGGTACACAGGTTTATACGATCATATTGAGTTTTATCACAAAACTACAATTGATTATGAACAGTTTGTGTTTCAAAACATTAAAGGTTTGAAGTCTTCTCTCTCATAATTTATAACCCTAATTACACAATTACCTACATTTTTGACTTTGTAGATTTTGAATTGTGGAAAACAGACATAGAGCGGAAGGAGTTTTCGCATTATGTAAAATGCAATTCAGGATATAAATCAAAAACTGATGACAAGACAATTTATTTCGATTGCCACAGGTCATATACATATGACCAAAAACCCACTGTACGCTTGTTTACTAAAACGAGCAACAAAACCGGATATGCTTGCCCATCAAGGATTAGTTGTACTATTAATCACAATGGAACAGTTCATGTTGAATTTTGGAAGACACATATGGGACACAGTCAAGATATAAAATTTATTTCGTTAGATAAGAGCCTGAAAGAACATATCAAGGGTAAATTTTTAATTGACTTGTATGATTATAAAACTAAATACATTTTTGTTTTATTAATAACTTCTACAAAAAATACGGTTTTTCGGTTGGTGGAAGTTATATAACAAGGTTTCTGTCCATACTTCCATTTAAATTTTAAAATTCAGTTTTCATTTATTGTTCGGTTTAACTTTGGTTTGGCTAATCATTTCTTCAAAATGCAATTCTTTTCTCTTTTTTATGTTTAATTTCAATGTTTATATTTATTCTATATTATTTATATTTATTCTATGTTATTTATATTTATTCTATATTATTTATTACATGTTTCCTGTGACATGCTTTATATTGTAAATAGTATGTGTATATATTTTGAATAAAAATATTTGATGAAATAGATGGTTTTAATTGTGTTTCTTATTACCTATGTTAATCATTGTTAGAAAAAGTAATCAGATCACTTAAAGATAAAAATAGGCAAAAATATCGGACTGAACTTAAGTTTATTACATTACTATACATATGCTAGCATGTAATATATATATATATATATATATATATATATATATATATATATACATCCATACATATGAGTTAAGTTCTAATAATCAGATGTTACATGCTACAAGACTCTTGTAGCTATTTTGATGTTCAGGCTGAAGTCCTAATCTTAATTCAGTGAACCCTACAATAGAATTAAAACACACTAAGCAAACAAAAACAACCTGAATAACATTTACCTGGGTAAATAAAATAACTATACTAAAACACTCTGCGAAGCCCTAATTAAAAATTTCCTAATAATTTCTAACAAAACTGTACTAGGTTTTGAATAACTATATGTTTGGTTCCCTGAAATAATATTGGTTGTGAAGAGACAATGTATGACCATGTAAATGTAAAAGAACCGCTTTCGTAAATAATTATATACTTACAATTGGGATTTCTATGTAACTGTCTAAAAGGTGTCTAAATGTGAGAGGTGAGAGGTGAGAGACAATATAACAATGGGTGTACTATTTTGACGTTTGACAGTTTTGTTTTTTTGTTTGACAGTTTTGTTTGACGCACATAGGTTTTTTGTCTTTCAATGTTGTTACACTTTTTTTATTCTCGGTTGAGCGTCGTATGTTGGTATGACAAAGAAATGTGATATTATCATAAATTAGCTTCGTGTGAAAAGTAACAGGTTTGAACTATTTTCTATGTAAAGAAGTACGTCATAAAAAATTACTTTACGCTTCATTGCTTCAATTTCTGTTGCAGCTGCTGTGATTTATTGTGAGATACTCAATTTAGGATATTTAGCAGAAATTAACTAATTGAAACAAAGCCAAGATGAACTGTCTATCTCATCTCGTTAAAGTAACTCTACCTAACTATTTGTCTGGACTACCGATACCTGATACTTTCGGTGGATGGTTTAGCTTAGGAAGTAAGTGGAAATCTATTATTCATTGCTATTACTCATTAAGTTTATATTGTCTATATTTAAGCAAATGTTATTGAAAAGCTTGATTGTTTAATGAGGAGAGTCATAGGTCAGTTGCACAACTATGGGTCTTCTAACCTTAAATATTTTAGGTGCATAGAATTATAACATTACACATACGTTTATATTAGTTTACTTTTTATGTAAGCCAGACAAAAATCTATGCAATTAGTATTATGTAATTCATTACTGACAAGACCACTTGTCGCAAAGTATCATTGATATAAATCTGAATTGTTTGGAATCTTCAGGTTGAGAACGGATTTCTTGACACAATTGACTGCGATACAATGGTGCTTCGCACAATAGACATGGTGCAAAATGAACAAAATAATTACATTATTTGTATTAGAAAATATTAGATTGTCAAATATCTCCCTTCCGCTTTTTTGCATTGCATTGCATACAAAAAGGCGGAAGGGAGATATTTGACAACCCAATAGGTTGTTTATTTAGTGATAGTTAAATCAGATAGTCGCAACGGACTAAGTTGTTCAAAAACTGAAATCTTTGAAAATGCTGTGGCCATAAACTTGGAGAAAAAGCTCACACTTAAAGCAAAAACCAAGAAAGAAAAGTCTTGTCAGTCGATTTCTAGTTCTGATTTTATGATAAACTTCTTGGTCCTTCAACCATAAATGAAATTATGAAATACTATGAAATTAAGTTTTTTGTACAATAATATGCTTGGTCATCATTTGATAAAGAAAAGAGTAAAAATGTTATTAGTTAACAGTCTATAAAAGGACAAAGAATGGAACGGGGCCACTCTTAAATATAACTCCTCATTTTTATAATATATATATTAATTTTATAAATACTGCAGGAATATTTTTTGAAATTTTAAATGCTTTAGTGTATTTTATTTCACAAAGCCATATTTTCACGGGTAAAGATAGCCATGTAGCTATCTTTACATGGAAATATTGGAGTTAGGGGAAGACGGCTAGGAAAGTGGTTCGGTATTAAATTTAAAAAGTATGTTATTTTTACTAAAAATAAAACCAAACTTTTATTTCTTAAAGCCCAAATTAATACCACATTATTATTTCTTGCAAAAATAAAAACAAAATATAAATAACAAAAGGAATATTCTTGGAAAAATAACATTCGAGTCAGTCATATTTATAGTTAGCTTTCCGCGTTTTCAGTGTTTTGGCATTTTTTAACAAAAGCATCTAATGTTGTTTCACTTTTTCTTTTGTGTTGTTCTCTTAAAAGTTCATCATAAACTTTTGATGAATTTTTAAGAGCATCTTTAACACCACGTCTTACTTTAGAGCTCCTGTCCAAATTCGGATCATTATCAATGAATTGATCAATTATTTCAGTTATGGTAGACAAACTCCTTTTTACAAACACCATCGAAAGTTCTTTTTGCTTTTCCGCGGAATCACTGCTATCAACATTTTTGTTTTCTTCTTGTTCAGTTCATTCCTTGAGCTCACCATTGGAAAGTCTGTGCTGCTTCTTGAATTTTTTCTTCGACATCTTCCTCATTTATTCCTTCAAAACCTGGGTTAAAATAAAAGAGCACTAAACGATACGGCGTTAAACGGGATATTACTGTATATGAGTTTTTAGGTTTTTTGAGTTTCAGAAGCTCATAAAATTAATTCTTTATTAAATTACACTTTGTCTGTATAGTCCACAGTTTTGCTCAGATTACATTTTATTCTGATCATAAAATTTTAAGTTCATACAACACCCACAATATTATAAATTATATTTCTTTCTAGTAAAAGACTGGATCTCACTGGTTCCACCAACAGCAGTATGTGCAGGAATAGGATATATGGCTTATAGGGCATTCTGCCCCCATGGAAGGCCGCATGTCACGGTTCACATTAACAAAACTATCAATAAAGACAATCCTAAAGTTGTGGACACTATTGCAATCGAGGATATTGCAGAGAAAGCTGTGTTGTGCAGATGTTGGAAAACTAAAAATGTAAGATACATATGACTAAGAATAATCAGTAGTCTGCCCGAAGGCAGGTTCATGGTGTGAGACTATCACAAATCAATGATTCCCTTTCTTTCTCATGTTTACTATTACTATTATCATTTTATGAATAGTGGTAATTCATACTTTCTGATCTTGTGCTTCAGCTTTCAATTCTCTGTAATTTCCCTTTTTGCATATTCATCAACCATCTGCATTTTTTCTGAAGCATGTAACACTTGAGACATTTTTTCTTAGATTAACTTCCTGCAATTTTTGTTTATTAACTTCCAGTAGGCTAGTTATATAGTAATGGGCCGAAAATCGAAAATGAAAATTTTTGCATTTCTCTACGTTTTGAAGGTTTCTGAACATTTTGGCATACCTCAGAAAAAATGGATGTGTGTGTGGGTGTGTTTCGTAGGTCCGCATTTTTTCGTCCACGTTTTCGGGCGCACGGATCAACCGATTTGAATGGTTCAAATAACATTCGATTCCTATTGATAGGAAGATGTGCTGATTAGTTTTTGACAAAGGCAGATCCAGCCGTTACGGAGATATGGAGCAAAGAGTGCAGAAAATACAAATCGAGTTTTTGAGAGAACGGAGCATCGGATTTGAATGATCCAAAAAACATTCAATTCGTAATGACGGGAAGAAGTCGTGATTAGTTTTTAGCAAAGGCAGGTCCAGCTGTTTCGGAGATGCGGAGCTAAATGTGCAAAAAATGGCAGTGTTTGAGAGAATCGAAATAATTCAGATTTTAATTGTAATTCTGACTAAAGTTCTAATATACTTTGAACAAATAATTTCAACTTTGCAATTCAGTATATATAATTCTTGTAATTATTAGACAATGTTACATTATTTATTTATAATAATCTATTTGAAAACCATTCGAAAACCTCGACCATTGCATTACGGCACAGAAAGTTCCAGCAATTTGCCTTTAGGCACAATGCCATACACCAATAGTTGTTTATTTTTTTCATGTTTCAATGTTGAGTAAACAAATTTCAATATGCGTTTTTTCTTTTAATTATTGAACAAAGCACTATATAATTATACCATTTTGCTTAACACATAATGCAAGATGTAGTTTCACTTCATAACAAAAGTGTTTTCAAAGTGAAAAAAGTTCTCGAACCATGTTAGTGAATCCATGTATCATGTTGTATGGGGGGTTACCTGAACTTACACACAGACCACATGTCTTTTTAGTTCAATTATTTGTATTCTTCATTCTTTTCTTATAAACTAATGCTCGGTCATTACTATTTTCAGTGGCCATATTGTGATGGATCGCATGGTGTCCACAACAAGGAGACTGGAGATAATGTTGGTCCAGTCATTGTAAAAAAAAGTGCATAGAGGAAATCTAGTTAATCAGTTCTAACAAACATTTGATGAAGAGAAATGAAATATTGGCCAACTTTTGCTTAATCGACTGTTAGAACAAAGCTAGATAATTGATCTTATATGAAAAATAGTAACGGCACTATTGGTGCGTTAGACTTGCCTATGATATTGTTAATTGTTGAATTTGGTAAAGGTTTATAATTTTATAAAAGTATATTTTTATAGTATCAATTCAATTGCATACATACTGTGTTCATTTTATTCACAATAAACTTTAGTTCAATTACGAAGATTTTTATTTGATTTGGATTATTGTGATCTGTTTCATATAAAAGTACAGCGGTACCGCGACATACGAGTTTAATTCATTCCGTAAACCACGCTCATATCTCAAAGCAATTTTTACCATATAAATGCTTTTTGTCAATTTTTTTGAATATTAAAAATAAATTCCGTATTTGCTAATTTAATTATTGTTTTTTTCAGTTCATCCAAGATGTTTCATTCAACATGCTTGTACTGTTGCAACATTTTTGGGTTTTTTTTATCCACAATCTTTTAGAGTTCAGAAAGCTGCTTATAAATTACTGTAAGGCCCTTACCTGGAGATATATACTTTTTATCCGATTTCTGTTTAAATTCAACATATTAAACATATTTATGTTGTGTTACGCTCACACGTCTTCACTTTCTTCATACTTTTCAATATTTTCACTTTTTAAGTCGGGAGACATGGCTCTTTTCTTTGGACCCATGGTTAAAAAATTAAATCGTATTTTGTAAATCTACAAACAGCAAAAAACGCGAACTCAACATACAAAACTCTACAATTTTTATTAGACTCGTATGTCAAGTCACTCGTAAGCTGGGTTATTACTGTATTAGTTACAATTATAGTCCTGAAATAACATTGGAGATCGAGGTAATACAACATGGCATTTAAAAAAAATCTTCAATCATTAAATTTAATTTTAATCTCCGAAAATGTTTGAGTTTGTTTAACTGAATTAAGTATATCAATATTTATTATTTTATTTTATAAATGCAAATTATTCAAGGTGCCTTTATTTAAATAAAAAATTGTTTCTATTGGCAGTACATATACAAAAAAAAAAAATTAATACATTTTTGAGTTTGCTCACTTTGCAATGGTCCAACATAAAACATTTCAAATATTATTCAACAAATGAATATTTTTAAATTTTTAAATGCATCACAAATTTACAAATAATAATAGTAAAGAGCAAATTACAATTCATAACATTTCTAATTATTTATTTAATCAAATAGTTATTAATGCCTGGAAAACAATATATCACCAATGATTCGCACAATAAGTTGCAATTTATGTTCAAAGTGATTTTTCTTTGAATAAATTGATAGTTTATAGAATAAGCACTTGAACATATTTTAGTTCACTAGTATCAGATAGCAGTCAATCATTGATTTATCACAGCCACCGCTAGATACAGGTGGATCGTCACAGCACACTTTTATATTAAATGATTTTGACCTGATGCTTTTCACAGCTGAAAAGATAACAATTGAATTAATTATGAGGATAATCATTATAGAGCTTGTGTTTGAATTGCATTTCGTCACCAACCTCAAAATGCCGAAGGTCATTATTTGTATAATATGTATCTTCAGTTACTAATCTCTCTCTAGTTCCATATTTCCTCCTGAAAAGAAAATATAATGTTAAAATTAACCAATATAACTCGATGGCATTTTTTATTACTCTTGGAAGGTTTTGAAGCAATTCTTGATTGGTATTTTTTTTTTCAACTAATAAAAGCCATTTGATGGAACTCGATTAAAAATCATATTGTTTAGTTTTGAGAATTAGCAGAAAAGTGAATTTTTTTTCTTACAAGGAGAACCACAGGTTTATTCTTCTGGGATTTTGATGATAGTCCAGTCATTCATTTAAGCTTAAATTAGGTAAGAATCTCGGATTTGAGATACCCAGCTGTAAGTCTGTAGTGTAAATACTTGAAATTTGCACCCTAAAAGTTGTCTCAAAACCTACATATGGTATGGTGTCCGCAACATATGTAGGTTTTGAGACAACTTTTAGGGTGCAAAATAAAAGTATTTACAGGCTTACAGCTAGGTATCTCGAATTCCGAGGTGAACTTACTATAATGACTGAACTATACAACTTTATGTTGATGGTCAAACCAAACAGTTTAAAATATTATAGGCCAGAGAGAAGTGGTCTAATTATTAAAATTAATTAAAGTTTTGAAAAATTGTTAGCAATGAAAATTTAAAAACTATTCGAAAGATATCAAATGTGAATTATACTGATTAGTTATTTGGTAAAGATTGATGGACCGTTCCTTTGGTATAAATTGTTCAACTTTTTTTGGACGATTTTGATGAAATGATTGTTTATGGTCAAACATGATAAAATATTATAGGACTACAAAAAGTGGTTTACCAAAATATAATTAAGACATAATTTAGTACATTAATAAAAGGTGAACCACTGGGTTTTTCTTTTAAAATTCTATGTTATTTGTCAAATTAACTACTCAATGTCTTTGTATATGAACAGATTGTAATTTATAAGTAAATAAAAAAAAAACAAGAAAAAAATACTTAAAAATTCATTGAACAGGAATAATGTACCATATGCAAGTTTGAATAAAATTTTGCCACGCAATAATTTAGATTTTCGGCATGTAAAATTTCATGATGATAATCAAATTCTGATTTCAAAGCAATTAATTATAAATAATTAACCCAAGTACTATTATTGTGATCAAGACCTAGTTAGAATTGTTTTACATTACAGGCTATATTATTAAAAAAATGCGCAACACTCTAGGAGACAAATCGGCCGACGAATGAATTAAGAAATTTATTTAAGAAATTCAAGTTTAGAAGGCATTTCTTTTTCATTACGGCTCTGCCGGCGTAGGCCTAGTGCAGCTCTGCCAAAATCCTTGCTCAGTTCAGGTATACACAGTGTGGCCAATGTGCATATAAATAATTCAGTTATATAATATATTGAAATATTTTGCAAATTGTATAATATAAATATTGGCACAATTGATTGCTCGGTCTAGCCTTACAGAAAGCAATTTGTTGCTTCAGTAAGAATACTGGCGTATTCCATGCCAGTTTGTTGTGCAGTGTATTCGATATTTTTGCAAAAGTGTTAGTTTTAGATAATGTGTTTAATATTTGCCTATATTTAATAGTGGCAGGTAAGATGTTAGTTTTTGCTATGATTATAATGTAGTCGACAAAGATTTAACATAAAGCATGGTATTGAGTCGAGCAACAACGTGTCTGTGTGTGGTAATTTCATGTACACATTTCTGCAGCACCTTGCTAACAATTTATAGTAAGGTGTATTATTTAATAGTAAGGTGAATTGTCAAAAGACAATTTATCTTTTCACTATACATATATTTATTAGATAATTCGAATCATGTCTTGATGTTACTGGATAATACCCAAATGGTAAAACATTCGTCAACGTGAGGTACCTGAATTTCCATTCATATGTATTTTTCATATGTATAGATTTAGAGATCAGATGGTCGATGAAGGAGTATTTTTGCAATACTTAAGTGAAGATATGGCATACCATGTGTAATGAAATTTGCCTAAATATGGATTAAAATATCGCGTAGTACCGTATCGAATAAAAAACTTGGAGCGGCATTTTTTGGTACATAATTTGTTTTATCAAGTGTAGTAGTAATATTTGCGTGAAAAACAAGTATTGTTTTAATAAAGTGAGATCAAAAGCCTAAATATTTTAGACTAATCGGTATACAGTAATATCCCTCTTAACGGTGCTTTTATTTAGCAACTACGTTAGATGCCTTTTTAACGAAAAGGCAAACAATTGGAAGCAGTATAAACTGAACGATCTGATTGAATTAGAATATTATTGTTTTTTATAATTATGTTTGCATATATTATTTCATATCTGTATGAATTTTTTTTTTTAAATTTTAACAGGAAACAGAACCTTATATTCTATAGGCTGTTGGGCTGAAACTCCTCCTTATGTCGTGTTTTGAGATGGTGACCCAACGGTTCTCATCCAATCCATCTATATTTAATTATTTTATTTTGAGTATTTATCTAATAGTACTGGCTTATTAAATAAATGTTCAGTTTTATTTTTATTAAATATTACCCCTTTCTGCCCGGCATCGATTCAAAAACAATCTACGACCAATTCGTCCCCGCATTCTGACGAAAACTTGCCTGTTGTAAACTTCTGTTGTGTAAGTTATGCAATGTGTTTTATATAAATTTATGTACATTGAAGAACAAACATTTACAATAATTTCTAAATTTATTTTTTGCGGGTTGATTTCACTCTCGTTATAATTATTTAGTCATGACAGTTTTTTTTATTATTCCACAGTAAAATTTGTTATATAGCGAATTGCTCGAACGTTTTGTTTTGTTCAAAAAAAGATTATATAATAAAAAAGGTAAAATATACTTTTAAAATAACTAATAGCAAATTTTGAAAGGAGTACTTTGTCTTATCACTGCATAGATTTATTCTAAGAATTAGCAACCTTTTTAAATCATGGGCCGCATTTAATTTTCAAAATTTTATGGCGTGCCTCACTTACTTGTTAATAATTAACATAGTTTGTAGGCCTCACTTGTTAATAATATACTAATAAACATAATATAAAAATACTCAATTAAAAGTAAATTAGTGATGTATGGCATCGTGCTTTAAGGAAATTTGCTGGAACTTCCAGTACCGAAAACAAAGTTTTTTAAAAAGTATGATTTTTTTTCAACTTTGAAAAAAAATGATTTTTGAGAGTTTTGAAATTTTTAAAAAAGTTGTATTTTTTGAAAAATCGATTTTTTCATATTTTCAAATATTTTGGAAGTTTTGAACTTTTTTTCAAAGCAATTAATTTGCTGCGTAGAGACGAAATATGGAAGCGCGTATGCGCCGCGTTGCAATCTAACAGATAAACAGTGTTGCGGAGCCCATAGAAATGTAAACAAAATTTATACTCATTATTAAAATCTTCATAAAATATCTGATCATTTTATGTGCATATGTCTAATGATCATTTTTGACCCCCAAATGGCATTTCTATTTACTTTTTTATTCGATTTCCGAAACCGCTAGACCTGCCTTCCCAAAAATTTGATCAGTTCTTCATTTTGTCTATACAAGTAAAATGTTTTTTGAATTATTGAAACTGTTTTCTTAAAAACTGATCTACCATTTTACTTTTGCCCCGTATCTTCGGAACGGCTGGACCTGCCATGTCAGAAAACTAATCAGGATACGTCTTCTTATCAATAGGAATCAAATGTTTTGTTTGAATCATTCAACTTGGTTGAACCTTGTTCCAGAAATCGTCGACAAAAACTTAGATCCAAACACACACACACATCCATTTTTCTAAGGTATGTAAAAGAACACATTAAATTCAATTTATTGATGAAAGAAAGTTGCCGAAATAAATACAATTTTCTAGAGAAATTCTTGGTGGGTTCCAGCAAAGTATTAAAAGGTCCGCATGAAGTCCGCGGGCCGCGGGTTGCTCATTCTTGATATATTGTATTCAACGCTTCAATACGAACGGCGTCATTGTGTATAAAAACTGACGAGTGCCTCAGATGAGACAATCGAGCTATATGCTAGATATACGTTGAGCTAGCAAAGAGTTAATAAAAATATTTTTGTTATATAGCCAATTTTCTATGCATCGTCCCTAATTGCCCCGCTTAGCGCTGTGACGCTTTACCTTCACCTTTGAAGAAGCGTAACCTCCGCGTTAATCCAGATATTATTGTATTTTGAACCGGAAAGATTTGGAACTCGTGAAATTTTAGTGCGTCTAGAGTTAAATTATTACTATAATATTTAACCAATTATAAGTAATATACTTACTCAAGCATTTGTCTCCACATAACCAGACCGACAAAACCAAGTACCGCTATCACAGCAAAAGAACCAGCCATGATTGCCGAAGTGTCGGTGACTCTCATGTGATTCATATAATCAGCTTTGTGTTGCTTGTGATGATGGTGCTTGTTGAATTGTTCTTCATGTTCATTAGATTCACGATCCTGGTGAATTGGTTGAACCAACTCGGCTCCAAAATCAGGCGACGAAGAAGAGCTAATATAAAAAAAACGGTTAATATTTTTGTAGAAAACTTGACTTCTTGTACAGTACACATAGAAAGATTTAATGCACCACGCACTATGATCGGCTAAAAGGTATCAAATACTTTTTTCATGTGTTAGAAAATCGTACTTATTACAAACCACACAATACGATGCAACAGAGCCAGAATATTATCATTGTTATCCTATTTTAACCAATGAAGGTAAATATAATTTAATACGTCAGTGTTCTCGGGAGATATTAAAGGGGGTATTCTGGTCTAGGATTTATAATAAATCTATTTGACATTATGCTAACAAGAGTATTTTTTATAATTTGTCATTTTTAAAGATGTCGATGTTCGACTGTCCTCAGTTTCCTTCCTCCGCAAAATATCGAAACAGAATTTTCTAATACGATACGATACGATACGATACAATACCCACGATTTCTCGACTTCTACTGGACCGATTTACTTGAAATTTTCTTGAGTCTTCTTTACAGACCTCTAATCAGTATGAACTACTTAAATCAGATTTTAACTATTTCTTTTTAAAAAAAAGAATGCCATTTTGTGAAAAAGCATTTTGCTTCAACATGTCCGTAGTTTATATAATTGCGACATTATTTTAAATTATTTTTTTTTTCTTTCGATTATTTGGAGGGTTGAAATGACTGAAACCCCACTTTATCACTTTGTATAATTAAAATTTAGGACTTTTTTTAATTTCATTTTTGTTTCTGAATTTTTAAAGCATTAGTTATATGACTATATTATATAACTTGTTTTTTTTACGCCCTTACAAAAATTGCATGAAATTGCCTCTAATCCAGAACACATCCTTAAATTCAAAAATACGCTTTTGGGGATGAGATTTTTTTCGGACTATTAAAATTTTGATAACCGCGTTATAAAGTTACAAGACTGAGATATTGAATATCATTACACACTGACCATTATTAAAGAAGTATTTTTGAAATAAAAATAATAATAAACCTAGTTTCCAAAAATTTTAATTAAATAATTAAATACAAATGTTAGTTTTCTAATACTTCAGTAATGTTAAATTTATGTTAGGCACATAGGTATAAAAGTACAAAGTTATGTTTTGAAAACGTTGACTAATAGCGTGTGTTGCGAATTGAAAACAGGATTTTTAACTAGAATGAGTCTACAAATTGTAAAGGTTAAAAAAAAGTTATATGCAATTAATAACCTTTTCTAACCTTTCCTGAATCCTCTCTGTACTTCTTGTTGCTATATCACTTTCCTTTGCAGGTGCCTCTGAACCGGGCGTCTTATTTAAATCATCGCTTTCTTGATTATTATCCTCAGCGCTTTCCTGAATAAGATAATTTTATTAATTAAATAGTGAAATATAATATCTATATATAAATATATATATATATATATATATATATTTATTTATTTATTTATATGTATATGTATTAGCTGACCCTGCGTTGCTGTGGCTTACTATTAGTAGTTATATTTGTACTTTGAATGAGCTTCTTTTACTAATTCTTTGGTACAATCAAATTACAATTTTCTTAAAAAAAGTTAAAATTCAGAAATTAATTCGTACGTTTTTTTTAAAAAAAATAACAACTTAGATGCTACTTCGCCATCTATGAGGAATTTATGAAACAAATCGCTAATAATATAAACATTTAATTTGCAATAATAAATATTGAGATCAAAAATTAGGGCAAAAACGATTCTTTAATATTCGACCATATTATAAAAGGTTACAAAATTGTATTAAGTATTAGTAGTTTCGGAGTTTCTCACATAACATACATAATTACACAATTTTTTTTGAATATATGGATATGTATACATAAAAATAATGAATAGTAATCAAAGGTAGGTCCATTGTTTGAGAGCACCACTAATCCATGATTCCATTTCCATCCCCCGTTTATCATTTCCATTACTGTTTTATTACCATTAATCACTTTTTATTAATGTTTTTTGCATTTGTTTTTCCAAAGTTCTGCTTCCAAGTTTCCTGGAGTTGTGCTTCGGCTTTCAGTTCCCTGCATTTTCTTCTCTCGCATAAATCAACTATCTGGAGTTTTCTTCTTTCCATTCCTTATAGTTCTTCTATTTTACTTTCGACGACGTCATTTAGGAGGCACTCATTTTGCAGGATGGATCCGATCCAGTTTCCTTTTCTTTTTATGATCGTGCTCAGTAGAGTCCTACCTTCGCCCACTCTTCTCAATACTTCTTCATACGTTTCATTCATTTCAAAACACTTCAGATAGTTTCCATCGGCCTTTCTCAGAGCCCATGTCTCTGATCCGTACAGTGCTAAGCTCCACACATAACACTTTAATTTGTCACTTTATCAAGTATGTATACTAGTCCAGTCATTATAGTAAGTTCACCTCGGAATTCGAGATACACCCAGCTGTTAGTCTGTAAATACTTGTATATTGAAACTCTAAGGTTGTCTCAAAACCTACATATGGTAGGGTGTCAATACCATATGTAGGTTTTGGGACAACTTTAGGGTGTCAATATACAAGTATTTACAGACTTACAGCTGGGTATCTCGAATTCCGAGATTCATACCTAATTTAAGCTTACATGACTGGACTATACATGGCATGTATGTATGTGTGTAATATGTATGTATTACATATATTTTTGCATCATGAAAAATATTCGAACTATTTCATTATTTAGAGAAAAATTATTTACTGCCGATACTGTTATTGGAAAAGAATGCCATATATGAGTATAATATTCCCATGCGAATTTTTCGACTAATTTAATTTGTGATTTTATGAATGTATAAATTAAATAAATTATTCACCGTACAACAAATTCCGTGAATATTTTATTTTATTATCATATGTTATAAGCGAGCGTGTGTACATTATTTTCGGAAGGACATCTTGAACGAAATGTATGGTTAAAAAAATCGATTAGTATTAATATATTCCAAACTAGTTAGTGGCTTTTGGAAAAATTGATTCAACCAACTTCAAACAACGGAAGGAAATGTCCTAAAGTATTTGCTCATTGCATATTAAATTTTAGTCAAGAATTCGAAGAAGTTTCTGCAAACTTCTTCTTCAATACAATAGTGTTCAGATTTAGCTAACATAATGTAAATGGTGTGTATGGCATCGTGCCTTAAGGCCAATTGCTGAAACTTCCCGTTCCGTATTTAAATATTCGAAAAATATTAAATGTTTTAAAAAATGTGTCGTATAAATACAGTAACTTTCATTATTCGTATATTATAGACAAAATATAAGAGCTTATACGATGACATTATTATAAGTTTACATGAAAAGTGAATTAACAAAATCTAATCAAACGGAGTTAGAATTAAAGACCTTATCTCTTTTAGTTATAGAATTATGTAAACTTAATTACAAAGTTTAAAATATTTTTATCATGTATATGTGAGCTTTGGAATTTTAGTTAAAATTGAAATTAAAATCCGAATTATTTTCAATATACAAAAAAAATGCTTTTACCAAAAATAATCGGTTCATCAATACAAGCAAAATTTGTTTTTGAATCATTCACATCGGATGCTTTGTTCTCTCAAAAACTGCTAGGTGGAAATCCAGGGCTGTTCAGGCCAAACCAGGGTATATGGTTACCTTACTACTACTACTACTACTATATATATATATATATATATATATATATATATATATATATTATAATTATATAAACATCTAAATAATTTGTTTTAAAATAATTTTTAATAAATCTGGATTTATTACACAAAAAATTAGATATAATCTAAATGTGCATAAAGAACATTGATTTTAAAATTATTCAGAAGATTTAGGCGATTTGCGGGTGCTCATAATCAAATTGTAGTGCTTTCTATCGTTTTCGCACTATTTTTAAATTCTTATTGTCAATCCAAACCTTTTCGGACATCCAAAAGTTTCAGTAAGTTTATTATTGCTTGCAAGAATATTTTTCAATTTTTATTTATCTCTAACGCATGTGTAATTGTGTAATTACACATGTAAATATTATTTGGGCTTTGAAACATATTACTTATTTATTTTGGGAATTTTGTGCGATTTATTCTATTGAACAAATCATAGAGCAAAAAAAAATCTAGCCTCTTATTATTAAACATAACACTTGTACTTCATTTTAATTTAATTTTTCATTATTTAAAATATCTAAAATTGCATGGTAAACTTCTAATTGATATCGTAAAAGGGCCAAAGTGTATGTATTCACAATACTTTTGCTTCAGATTGTTATTTTAAAGTTTAAAAAATATTGTCCAAGATTAGTAAAAGATGCAAAGAAATTATATATGTTTCTGAATGATATTGAAAAAACTACATTATAAATTTCATATCCGAATCTCGTTTTGGCACCCCCTAAGTCGCGCCCCTCATTTTTTGCATGCATCGCATTCAAGGTAGGACCGGCCCTGTATATATATTTATATATATATATATATATATATATATATTTACATGTATATATGTGTGTGTATATATATGTATGTATGTATGTATAAATGATTCCCATTACAATTACAGCATATCTGGGATTTGTTTGTTCCTGACCTAGCGCGACACGTGAGAGATCCGTTATGCGTATCGTTAAGTTATGAATCGTTTAGCATGTAATATACGGTTGCCCAAAGCGGACACAAATGTTATTCGACATGTGAAACTTGCGAAGAATACACAAGTATACTATTTCCCAGCACACCTGAAAATACTGACGTCATCAGAATTCTCTTTAATGATTATTGTCTGTGAGAGTTGTAAAATTAAGCGCGTAATGTGAGTCATAACGTTTCGAAGAAATTCTCGATATATTATGGGAAATAATGGGAAATCCAATAATTCAAATCTTTGATATAATTTGTCATTAGCTGATTCAAATTGAGAAAATTGATACATGTAAAGAAATTGTTATAAGGGATCGTTCAAGTATTACGTAAGCAGATTTATTACAATTATTTACCCCCCCTCCCCTCCCATTTGTCAGCAAAAGTGAGCTAAGTTCTTACCAAAAATAAGCAAAATAAGCAATTCAATAACCCCCTGCCCCCCTATAGTGCTTACGTAATACTTGAACGGCCCCTACGTACATATAATTTTATTTTGCTATAGTAACATAAATATATTAGTTAATTAGTTAATACTTTAGAAGAACTTGCAAAAGATTTTTTTTCTATCTTTACGTTTCAAACATTTCTGAACATTTGGACATACCTTAAGAAATGGATGCAAGTGTGTGTGCGTGCGGATACAACGATTTCGAGAACAACGGTTAACCGATTTGAATGATTCAAAAACCATGGATTCTTATTGATGGAGAGACGTGCTAATAAGTTTTTGGTCAAAAAAGTGCTAAAATGGCAACTCATTTTTTAAGAGAACAGAACGTCCAATTTGAATGATTCAAAAAACATTGCAAATTTCATGTGTATTCACTAACGAATGTTTAGAAAGGTAGGTCCAGCGGTTTCGGAGATCTAATAAAAAAAGTAAAAAAAGCCAATTGGCGGTCAAAAATGATCATTTGATTGTGCACATCAAAATATCAGATTTTAGGAGCAAATTTTGTTTACATTTCTATGGGTTCCGTACAATGTTTATTCATTAGACTGCAACGCGGCGCTCAAGAGCTTCGGAAAGCTTGGAAAAAAGTTCAAAATTTTCAAAATATAAACAAGAAATTAAAATTTTTTAGGAGTCAAATTTCAAGAGTCAAAAATTCTTAATCATTTTTTTACAGCTTTATTAAAAATTTAAATTTTCGGTACGGAAAGTACCAGCAATTTGTCTGAAGGTACGATGCCATGCACCCACTAGTTTAATGTTGATTCAAATGAGTTAAAATTGAACAAATTTTATAACTATAATGAAAAATAGAAAATATAGGACACGGCAAAAATCGTAATGCAGATAGCAATAAACTTCAAGAAAATATTCGGAAATACCTGTTTTTTTTTATTCAATTATTAACCAGCTTATTATTTCGCATAACCTAGCATGTACGTATTCTCATTAACCGATCTCGTTCCTAATCATCTCTATTTTTAAAGCCATATTATTTACTTAATCTGACATTTACAAAACATCTATATGATTTATCTGTCTAGTAAATCTGTTTATTCAGAGATCGTTCTAAATATAGATGAGCTTTTTAAATATCGAAGGCATATGAGCTTATCTAATAATTTTTAATTATTGGAGTTAAATAGGTCAGACGTTAAATTTTATGAAAGTCCGATATGTAGAAAACTAAAAAATTGTACTCAAAATGTGATAATGCTTAAAGAGAGGGCACGTGTTGTTCCTTATGTGACCAATATAAATAGAGTAA